AACAAACAAACAAAACTCAAGACTCAACAATCTGTTGCCTACAAGAAACAGACTTCACCTAGGATAAACACAGACTGAAAATGAAGGGATGAAAAAAGATATTCCATGGCTGTGTATGGTGGCTCACACCCGTAATCCCAGCACTCTGGGAGACCAAGGTGGGTGGATTGCTTGAGATGAGGAGTTTGAGACCAGCCCGACCAACATGGTGAAACCCCATCTCTACTAAAAATACAAAATTAGCCAGGCATGGTGGCAGGCACCTGTAATCCCAGCTACTCAGAAGGCTGAGGCAGGAGAATCACTTGAACCCAGGAGGCAGAGATTGCTGTGAGCCAAGATTGCGCTTTGCACTCCAGCCTGGGGACAGAGCAAGAGTGCGTCTGGGAAAAAAAAAAAAAAAAAAAGACACAAATGGCAAACAGGCACATGAAAAGGTGCTCAACATCACTGATCATCAGAGGAATGCATATCGAAACTACAATGAGACCTCACGTCACCCTAGTTAAAATGGCTTTTATCCAAAAGACAGGCAATAACAAATGGCAACAAGGAGAAAAGTGAGAAAAGGGAACCCTCATACACAGTTGGCAGGAATGTAAATTAGTATAATACGATGGAGGACCATTTGGAGGTTCCTCAAAAACTAAAAATAAAACTACCATATGATCCAGAAATCTCACTGCTAGGTATATACCGAAAAGAAAGGAAATCAGTATATTGAAGAGATATCTGCACTCCCATGTTTGTTGCAGCACTATTTACAATAGCCAAAATTTGGAAGCAACTTCAGTGTTCATCAGCAAACAAACGGATAAAGAAAATGTGGGACATATGCACAATGGAGTACTATTCAGACAGAAAATTATGAGATCCTGTCATTTGCAACAATATGGATGGAACTGGAGGTTATGATGTTAAGTGAAAAGCCAGGCAAAGAAATATAACTTCGTATGCTCTCACTTATTGTGGAGGCTAAATAAATGAAAACTATTGAACTCATGAAGATAGACAGTAAAATGATAGTTACCCAGAGGCTGGGAAGTGTAGTGGGGAATGGGAAAGAGGAAAGTGGAGATAGTTAATATGTACAGAAGTGTATGAATAAGATCTGGCTATTTGATAGCACAAGGTGACTGCAGTCAACAAGAATTTACTGTATATTTAAAAATCACGAAAAGGGTATAATTGGATTGTTCATAACATAAAGAAAGCTGGGCATGATGGCTCACACCTGTAATCCCAACACTTTGGGAGGCCAAGACAGGCAGATCACCTGAGGTCAGGAGTTTGAGACCAGCCTGGCCAACATGGTAAAGCCTCGTCTCCACTAAAAATACAAAAATTAGCTGGGTGTGGTGGCGGGCACCTGTAATCCCAGCTTCTCGGGAGGTTGAGGTAAGAGAATTGCTTGAACTCGGAAGGTGGAGATTACAGTGAGCCAAGATAGCACCACTGCACTCCAGCCTGGGTAACAAGAGCAAAACTCTGTCTCAAAAAAAAAAAAAAAAAAAAAAAAAAGAAAGGATATGTGCTTGAGGTGATAGACACCCCATTTACCCTGAAGTGACTGTTACACACTGTATGTATCAAAATATTTCATGTACCCCATAAATATACATACTATGTACTCACAAAATATAAAAATTAAAAAATAAAAAGGTCCAGTTTTGGGTTTCATTACTTTTTTTTCTATTGTTTTCCTATTTTTAATTTCATTGATTTCTGATTTTTCCCCCTTCTTGCTTTAGGTATTGCTCTTCTTTCTCAAGTTTTCTAAGGTGAGAACTCAGATCATTCATTTTAGATTTTCCTTTCTAACATAACATTTAACACTGTAAGTTTCCCTCAAGCAACTGCCTTTATTACAGCCCACAAATTTTGACAAGGTGTATCTTCATATTCATTTAGTTTTTGCTCGTCTTTGCATTTCAGTTTGAAAGCTTCTCTTGATTTAACTTCAAATTCACTGATTCTTTCCTCAGTGGTGCGCACACTACTGATAAGCCTATCAAAGGAATTCTCCCTGTTAACAGCTTTTTCCTCTAGCATTCTCTTGATTCTTAGTTTCCATGTCTCTGCCTACATTACCCATCTGTTCTTACATACTGTCCATTTTCCATTAAACCCCTTAGCATATTAGTTATTTTAAATCCCCAGTATGACAATTCCAAAATTCCAATACATCTTGCCACATCCGAGTCTGAGTCAGGCTTGCTTTGTCTTCTCAGACTGATTTTTCGTCTTGGTTAGCATGCATTGTAATTTTTTGTTGAAAGCCAGACAAGATGTATTGGGTAACAGGAGCTGAGGTAAACAGACCTTTAGTGTGAGGGATTCTGTTAATGCCCAGAAGTTGGGTTATGTTTAATGTCTGCTGTAGCTGTAGCTGTCCATTTCCTCCAATGCGCTTATTTTTGTCTGTTTTATTGTCTCTAGGTTTCCCCGTTAATAGGGATATTGGGGAAGGGAAGTACTCTATAATCTGATTATATCTCCATTGTTTTATTGGGCCAAATTCCTTAAAGTGTGACCTGCAAAGAGTTTCTTAGCCTTTTTTCTCCTCTTCTTACAGAAATGCTAGAGGGGGCTGGAGGTGGTTAACAGAATTCTAAGTCAAATAAAGCTCTGATAAAGTAATTTCTCCTAAGGGCAGACCTTTGTTAGGGATAACAGAACACTGTGGGCATATTTTTAAATGGATACTTTTCCCCCCTCCCTGCAAAGCATAAGGATTTTTCTTCTATCTTCACCATGACAGCCTGGTGAGACTTCTGGAGGTAAAACTCACAAAGGTGCAGGAGTTCTTGTAAGACTAGGCCCCCAGGAGTGTTAAATGCTCAGTCTTCAGCAATTCATCAATTAAGATCTAAGCTTTCCTACCAGTTACCGGCTCCAGAAGCTTCTTCTCCTGTTAAGCCATGATTCTCTGTATTTACCTGTGTGTTCAGTTTTTGGAGTGGACCTAAATTCTCCGATGGATCTAAGAGCTACTGATTTTCAGTTTTTCAGCTTTTTTTCATGTTGTGAACATGGGAGTGTTGACCTTCAAGCTCTTTACATGTCAGACTGGCCTCAGTCTGATTTTAAGCAACCTGAGTATTGTTTGCCATCTAGTTCTCTTATCTGGACCACAGCACTTTGTATAGTAGATTTATTTGAGGCAGTTAGTTCACTCTCTCACTAAGTAATTCTTTAATCTTTAGAAAGTAAAATTGCTTAATAAGATTCAATAAAGTTGTAGGGCACAAAATTAACATAATAATCAGTAATAATGTATTATATATACTTGATAATTGTTAAAAAAAAAAAAAAAAAAAAGGAGACATGACAAGTTGTCAAGAAAAAAAACTGAAAGTGCTTAATGGCAAGAAAATACGAGGCTTTAAAAAGCATTGCTTTGGCCAGGCACAGTGGCTTACATCTGTAATCCCAACACTTTAGGAGGTCATGGTGGGTGGATCTCTTGGGTCCAGGAGTTTGAGACCGGCCTGGGCAACATAGCAAAACCTCATCTCTACCAAAATACAAAAATTAGCCCTGTGTGGTGGTGCAAGCCTGTAATCCCAGCTACTTGGGAGGCTGAGGTGGGGGGATCACTTGAGTCTTGGGCAGGAAAGTTGCAGTGAGCCGAGATGGTGCCACCACACTCCAGCCTGGGTGACAGAGTGAGATCCTATCTCAAAAAAAATAATAGTAGAGCAGGGGTGGGGGCTAAAAAAATAAAATAAAATAAATAATAAATAAATAAAAATATAAAATATTGCTCTTAAGTTTTTAACTATTTTAACAAAAATTGGCTTAGTGCTGGAGTTCTGAATAGATATTACAGTTGATACTTCAGCAAATGCAGAGCCATAAATATCAACTAATATACAGTTGCCAAATAATAATTATTTAGGAAGAAACCAACCATCAAGAAGCTCTGAACTTAAAAGTAAAAAATAAAGTTCTAACTGAAAGAAAAGAACATCTTACCATGTGGCTTAGAAAAAGCAAATGTAAGATACTCAGTTAAAATTCATTCATTTAACAAATATTTGTAAAATGTTCACTCTAAGGCAGATACCATGCTAAATACTCATGGAAAGATATAAAGATGTAAAAATGTATAAGAGCCAACAGTCTAGAGGGGAGCTAAACTCATAAAATAAATTGTCTCAATTGTTACAATGGTAGTATGCAGAACAGAACAAAGCATATTTTTTTGTTTGTGGGTAGTGTATATATGGGTAGTATCTGGTAACAGGCAGAGAAAGCTTCACAGAAATGGTGGTTTAAACTGCACTCTGGGCTGGATGTGGTGGCTCACACCTGTAAGCCCAGCACTTTTGGAGGCCAAGGCAGGTGGATCACCTGAGGTCAGGAGTTCAAGACTAGCCTGGCCAATATGGTGAAATACCACACTAAAAATACAAAAAAAGAAAAAAAAAATAGCTGGGCATGGTGGTGTGCGCCTTTAATCCCAGCTACTCAGGAGGCTGAGGCAGGAGAATCGCATGAACCCAGGAGGTAAAGGTTGCAGTAAGCCAAGACCACACCACTGCACTCCAGCCTGGACAGTAGAGTGAGACACTGTCTTAAATTAAAAAAAGAAATGAAAAATAAATAAACTGCACCCAGCATTACCTTTCAGCCTCTTTCCTTTCTCCTAAGTCATACCTCCTAATAGAAGAAGTGAGTTAGCATACGCATGCAAGTGACTGTATATGAAAATGTAAATGCATGGAAAAAGGACAGAGGAACAGACTTAACTAGTAACAGTCTCTGGAGGTGGAAGTCAAAGACACTTTTCTCCAGTCTGTCCCTGGATCTAAGGCAAAAAAAAAAGGATAGCTAAAAAAAAAATGTACATATATCATTAAAGAAAAGTGTATATGCATATAACTTTTATAATTAAAAACTAATTTTAATGATCAAAGGCAGAAATTATAAGGGCCTTGCTTCATGCAGTGCTAGTAAAAAAAAAAAAAGCAGTTTTATGTGAAAAGATGACAAACCTGGTAGGATCCACTTCAAAGCTAACATGTTGCCAATCAGAGGATGTGATCACAATTCGTAATAAAGGATCCAGGAGTTTTTGTAGATAGGTAGCACCATATACCTATAGAAATGCATGAGTAGGAGTTTATTATATCTGCTACATATATTTTACCTTAAAAGAAGACAGTCAGCTCTGCACAATCTGTACATTATTTGACATACCTTAGCGCGCACACACACGAAATGAATGATACAAACCTTGAAACAGAACGTCATTATTTTACTGGCCAAGCTGTTGCCTCGGAAGAGAGTCTGCATGGAGTCTGCCAATTCTACTTCTTTAGAAAACATGTTCCAGAGCAGTTGGTAGAGTAAATGCCGAGAATCAAACAGAGTAACCAGAACTCGAGCTAGTTCATCCTGAGAACAAAACAAAATCAGGTTAGTGCAAATAATCCCATTTTTGTTCTCAGGGAGAAAGCTGAAGAGTAGCAAAAATGTAAACCCAAAGTTGACAACCCCTTGCTAAATTAAGGCAAATGGTGACATTAATATTTCTCCTGAGATTTATCTGTGTACATTGTTTATGATAGATGACTATACATGATGTCTACAACAGCTGTTAATTCCAAGGATCAACTGGTGAAAGCTATTAAGAGAGGCCTAGGCTTTACCAGCAGACTAGGCAGAGACATGACAAAATTAGAAAGACTATAGAATTTTTGAGAAATCAGGAAGAAAAGGAATTGGGCATTTAGAACCCAGAGATCAGCCAGATTTACATATAAAGCTAGGGGGATAGGGATGAGGGCTGAAATTCCTATCTATTACCTAAATGACATCTTTTATAACTCCCTGTATTAAAGCAGTTTTGGGTACACTCAAGAAAAATGATCTAATAGTAAATCACTGTTTAATTACATAAGAAGAAATTTATAGAGAATGGGAGTAGCCATAAAAAGATGCCTCAATCCTCAAGCAGTTAACAACAAAGGTCAGGATCATGGTCCATAGCTCTCCAATTCTTCCCTGGTCCCCGGATTACAATAATGTGATAGATGAGATCTGGCCTAATAGAAAATTCCTTCTCAAAGTCATTTAATATAAAACTCAATGAATTAAAGCTACTTGAAATGAACAATTATTAAGAAAATTACTGAGTATTTTGAGTGCTAATTATAGGCAAGTGGTAATAAAATTCAGAATTTCCATTTTCAAAACATTTGAACATTTGTGAACTAATTTTAGACTTCAAGAAGATTTCAATAATTTGGAGCTGTTGCTAATCAATGAGTATAAAATTTCGGTTATACAAAGTTCGTTCTAGAGATGTACAGTGTAGCATTGTACCTACAGATCTCATACTAAGTGTTCTCACCAAAATAAAATACCAGAGGAGACACATTTCAGGTGGTAACAGCAGCAAGGCAGAAACAAGTCTAACACAAAGGAGGGACAGAACGGTAGCTGGCGTGGCTTTGGTGAACAAGAAGGAAAATGGCCTAAGACGATGTTGGAGATGTGTCAGGGCCCAGATCAGGTAGAGCCTTGTAAGACAGAATAAGGAGTTTGAATTTTAAGTACAGATATAACAAATATGATCCTACAGCTTTAAGCAGAAACAAATCTACGATGACAGATTACCTTACTAGTTATAATTTACTATAACTGAAATGATTTTTGGTACACTGAAAAGCAAACATCCTTTGCTGGAAGGATATATCCTTTGCTGGAAAGGAACAACCCTTCTCAATGTTTTAGCATGTATTAAGAATGATGTGATTTTAGGAAAATTTTTCATTAAACTAAGAGACCTAATAGCCGTATGATGTCTTTGGTGTTTAAAACAAACAATATCGTAATATCAAATGAAAATACAGTGCTTACATTTTTAAAAAGCTGTACAACACATTATGGGAAAAAGAACAGCAAACCGGAGGTAGTAAACAGGCACAAATCATGGATTCCAATTCCAGCGTTGCAACAACTGAAATTAGGTTTAACCTAACCACCTTATTTTAAATATATGAAGACACCAGAGTAGATCAGTGATTCTTAATCAGTGTTTAAACAGAATTTTCAGTGGGATAAAATGATATAGACTCACTAGTCAGGTCTAGGAGTGCCAACCACTTCCCTACAGCTGAAAAGTCATCTAACTAAACATCTAAGACTTCTTCTGGCTCTAAAATTTTATCAATTCATTCAACAAACATTTATTGAACAAATATATTCTGAAGGATGTGCTATGTACTAGGCATTTTTCTTCCCCATTTACTCTATGCACTTACCCACTGAGAACAAGGAACCACATTGGCCAGAGCCATAGCTATAGGGAGCTCTCCTTGATCACCCATCATTGTGACTAGTTCCACCAATCTCTCAAACCGATCAGCCAATACTGTTTCTGCAAGTGTGTCAAATTCTGTGCCTTGTTGAAGGATTTTTGTCAGAACTTCCATAAATGTAGCTCTTGTCTGGAGATCCTTGTGGTAACCTAAACCTGGTGTGGACAAACATGCAAATTTACTAACATGACCTTGCTGGAGTAATTTTTTGCTTATCTTACATGCCAGTTTTGTAAGTTTTGTATTTCTATATGAAATTTTCCTTTGATCTCACCTATGGAGTGCATGAGACCACTGTCTACATTGGCATTGAGTAAATTTGACATTGCAAGGACTGTACAGTGCCTCAATGATGCCAGCCTCCGAGACATGCCACGTTTCCTGCCACCTGTTTGTGCATTTTCATCTTCAACTTCACTGCAGTCATTCAAAAGGTTCATAAATAATGTGAAGTATCTGAGAAATAAAAAGAATGACCTTTACATAGCAAAGTCCACATCAACTAGAAAGCTAACCAGATATTCCAAAACAATAACATGTGCAAGGTATGACTGGTCCTCGATTAACTGCTTCTCTCCTCTCGGGATAATCAGCCAGGCTCATTATGAAGTGTGCTGTGTTGGACATGATTTTACCTGATATAGCCTAGTATACCTTTTATAACATAAGCATCAAATAGATGCAATGTTTCCTGGTAAATGTGTCACTTTTGATAGTTAGTATATAAAATTTGTGGTCCAGAAAGCTTAGACAATGTCACTTTTGTAAATAACTTAATGAAGCAATCTGGGTTTTATTATAAGCAAAATTTTACTGATCATATTTTCTTTAAAAATAAAAAAACACAGTTATTTTCCTATCCTACTTCTGTCGTGAGGAATATTGTTTGTTTTTGTGTGTGTGAAGGAGATTTATTTGCTTTTTGCTTTGTGGCTTTTGGTGACTGAAATTTACTTAAGAAATAACTGTGATTTGGCTTCCATTAATTCCACACCATCTCCTTCCTCAGGCTGCAGTGGGAGACCAGCTAGAAGTGAAACTACTGCTTCCATGCTTGCCTGGTCCAAATCTCTGGGGGAAAAAAAAAAAAAAAAAAAAATTAGAGACCAGAAATCTTTCAGGCTCTTTCACTTCTCCTCAAATAAACCTCCTATTAACAGATATAAACTTTAGGAACTACCTACTTCACTAAACAAATTATTAGCACAACCCAAATAATTTGAGTTAATATGAAAACCCCAAAATATAAAAACATCTCAAATGGGGAGAAGGCAATATTAACTTTCTACATAGTAATCTTGGCAAAATGACTACCTTAAGTCAGAAGTATGTACAATTGGCCCTCTGTATCAGTGAGTTCTATATCCATGGATTCAATAAGCCATGGACTGAAAATATTTGGAGGGGGAAAAAAAGTAGGGTTTCATCTGTGCATAGGTACTCAGTATGTACAGATTTTTTTTCTTTGTCATTATTCCCCAAGCGATATAGTATATTATATAACATTTATGCTGCATTAGGTATTATAAGTAATCTAAAGATAATTTAAAGTATATGGGAGGATGTGCATAGTTTATATGCAAATACTATGACATTTTATATCAGGGATTTGAGCATCTGTGGATTTTAATGCTCATGGGAGTGAGTTGTGGGCAGGGATTTGGGGGGTGATTCCTGGACCTAATCCCTGACAGATATTGAGAGATAACTGTATTATAAAGCTAGGCTTGGTCAAAGAAACATATGTGAATGCTTATTATACAGTCCATCGTGTTTTATCACTTTCTAATATGTGTCAATAAGTATTTATCATTAAAGCAGACTTAATTACTTCCTTTTCTTCTGTCTCTAGTGCTTGAATCAGAAAATCAATTATTTCTTCGAAAGATTCATCACAATGAGTTCCTCAAATAATACCTTTATCTTTTTCTATCTAATCATAACATAAATTGAATCTGAGGCTTTATGTATCTTATTTCCCAATAACTGTAGACTATTCTTCATAAACTGACAACACTAACTTCCCAAACATATTGTTCTCTCACATTTATTTTTAATGAAAGTCTCAGTCAAAAAAAAGTAGTAATAAAAATTAGTGTCTTCATATATTTCAAACACAAAAGTTTCACATCTAAAAAGTTTAAATATGCATAAAATACAAGTATAAAGCTGTAATGAAGTAGTGATAATTCTCACAGTAAAACCCACTAATAGGTCATTCTCTTATTTACCTTGTAAGACATTTTACATCATCATCTGCTGCTTGGTTTGATGTTCCCATAACCCAATCTGTCAGGTATTCTACCATCTTATTCCTATAGAATGATGGAGAAAAGAGAAACAGCAAACAATTTTTTTGAAGCTCCCCCTTCCACACACACTCACAAACACAAACACCTTTAGTCATGTAAGATTTCTTATAGTGTAAATAATTTGCCAGATAACCCAGGTGACATGATGACTTTATAAAAGAGATACTGCTATCACAGACACAAAAATCAAAAGGGAACATGTAATGTGGATATTTAGCCTCCGTAACGGCCCTTAGTTATGGTATCAGATGGGAAACAGAATCAAATCTTAGCTCAAGTGTAGCACAGTTTTAGAAAAAGGGAGCACTGCCACAGGCACAAAGCTTAGGGAAATTTGAGGAGAGATACAGAGAAAAACAAACATGTAAATTGCTCTTATTTTTGTCTTCCTTTCTACCAATAACCAGATACTTAGTCTTTTTCTGTATGTCACTTAACATATTAAGATTTACAAGACCCTACATTGCTCTTTTGAGAACTCACCTAAATTTCATCTCTTGGCAAAATGAGAGGTCATCTCTCCTTGCCATCATTACTTCAACTAACTGACACAGTTTCGTTTTTATTTGAATTGCATGGACCATATTCCCAAGCACACGAACATATCTATATAGACATAGAAACAATAAAAAAATGATCAGATATATGCAAAAGAGAAGGTATTCAAAATACTTTAGTTGTCAAGTAAAATGAATTAAAGTTTGAAAACAATAAGATATTTATTTATCTCATAAATATCTTTGTTAAGATATTTATGAACATACACAACTTCTGGTTACCTTATTGTCACACCCTAGTTTGTATGCAGTAAAGAATGGCAAATTAGTTTATCAATTACTACCAATATCAATGTGTAAGAGGTTTTTCTTATCTCTTAAAATATGTTTCTGCTACATTTCAGCAGAACGCTTACCTGACCAGATTTAACATCATTGTTTCAATGCTAGCTTGCCCTAGATGTTCAGAGCTGCCTTCAGTATGATTATCTAGCAAGTTCTTCATTATAGCTATGGTTTGCTCTACAAATTGAGTATTGGTATCAGTCAATAAAACCTATAGAAAGAACAAATACATTAATGATTTGCCATCAATGCACAGAAGACATACCCCCTAGAGAGATGAAACTGACTGACCTAAACACACAAACAGGCACACAGGCACACAACAAAACAAGCATACAGATAAACGCAGACACTCATATGCATACACAAGGCATTTATACCCTCAGGCACCCTTACACACCAGAGTTCCTAAGAAGCAAGCTGGCCCCTACATTGAGATGACTCTTCTTTCTGCAATTTTTTGGCAATTTTTAAAAACTATTGAGTACCTAATTTAAATAATCTGAAAGAAAAAGGCTTCATTATTTCAAACAAGTCAGTCTATTCATAGGGAAAGGTGAAACATAAAGAAGAGAACACATTACCTGTCCTTGGGAGTCAAAAAACTTGCTGATGGTATTCTTCAATTTGTTAAATAGCATTGGATAAAGAGCAGGACTCAATTCTAGACCCACCAGATCCTTAACATTGGTCCGTATCTGAAGTCCCACTTTCTCATGGTTACACACCATCAAGGACAACAGCCGATCCATAAATTTGCTGACAGGTGTATCGGTGTTTCCCTCTGAGGACATCACTGAAATCATGGAACCCTTACGTTCACTGACTGGGCCCATGGGTGGGCTATAGGTTGCCAGGCCAGAATTGCTTCTCTGCTGGAGGCACACTCCCCCAAGGGCACAAAGGAAACCAGTCATGTTGATCCATTCCTGTAGGGAGTCTGTGTCAGACAAATCTATGGATCCTCCTCCACTCACATGGGACATTCGCCTCTTAACAATGGTCTTGTGAAGGCTTTCAGCAGCCTAAACACAAAATTTTTGTGCAAAGCATGAATTAAACCTGAATTAGTTGAGACTTGACAAATTACTCTTTATCCAACATTTCTTCCATGACAAAAGTACAAAAAGTATAAAAAAAAAGTTAAAATCAAACCCCCAAATTACCATATAAATTTTTAAAGAGCCACTGATTTATTTTTGTCATAGCTACACTAATATAATCACCCAAGTATCAAATTTGTTTTAAAAAGCTTTCATTTCGGCCAGGTGCAACGGTTTACATCTGTAATCCCAGCACTTTGGGAGGCTAAGGCAGGCAGATCATGAGGTCAGGAGTTTAAGACCAGACTGGCCAACATGGTGAAACCCTGTCTCTACTAAAAAATACAAAAATTAGCTGGGCATGGTGGCTCATGCCTGTAATCCCAGCTACTTGGGAGGCTGAGGTAGGAGAATTGCTTGAACCGGGACCAGGGAGGTGGAGGTTGCAGTGAGCCAAGATTGTGCCACTGCACTCTAGCCTGGGCTACAGAGCAAGACTAAATCTAAAAAAAAAAAAAAAAAAAAAAAACCTTTGATTTCACATGGATGAACCTTGGAAACATTATGCTAAGTGAAAGAAGCTAACCACAAAAGCCCATATATTCTACAATTCCATTTATAGAAAATATCCAGAATAGGCAAATCTACAGAGACAGAAAGTAGATTTGTGACTGCCTAGGGCTGGAGAAGTGGATAGGGGAGAGGCAAGAAAGTGAGGGAGGGGGCTAGAGGCAGCGCTAGCTAAAGGGTATAGGGCTTTTTTCTCAATTAATGAAATTGTTTTAAAACCGATTGTGGTGATGGTTGCACAACTCTGAATATACAAAAAACAGTCACTGAATTGGACACTTTAAAAGGGTGAATGATATGGTATGTAATTATATATTAAACAGTTATCCCCCCAAAAGCTTTCATTCTAAAGCTACATGTCCCTTCCAAATAAAGGTATTAGGTACAAAATTTTGTTTTATAAAAATATAACTCTTTTCTTATTGTAATTAAGCATGACAGAAAAAAACAATGGAGGAATAACCAGTTTTTATAAATTGCCTAAAAATGAGAGCAATACAACTATTACAAATCAAATACACACAAACACCAACTGATCATTAATTTCCAAAGTAATAGATATTACAGTCAATAGTAATAGTTGAATGAACTGTCCACATTTTAAAATTTCATCTAATCTATGGGTTTAATCTTCTGCCCAAGACATTCCTTAATTAGAACACCTAACAAAATAGCAAAATGAATTGTTTCCATGTTAATTTTTCTCTACCTCTGTTGCTCCTTTTCTGAAAATTTTGTGAAACACCCTGATGAAGGGAAAATCAGCAATATAGGGTAAAGAAATGGTCTCTGCAACAAATAGTCTCTGGCAGTGCTGCCCAGTATTTCTGTGATGATGGAAACATTTTCTCTTTCTGCTGTCCAATAGAGTAAGTGTCATATGTGGCTACTGAGTACTTGGAATGTGGCTAGTATATGACTGAGAAACTAAATTTTAATTATGTTAAAATTTAAGTTAAATAGTCACATGTAGCTAGTGGCTACCTTGTTACAAAGTACAGGTCTAGATAAATCACAACTAAGTATCAGTCTTCAGACAACTATATGCTTACTATACTGAGAGACACACGAAAGATTGCCAAAGTGAAGTACATATATTTAGCAGTTCAGGTAACAGACAACAGTCAACTTTACACACTTACCTGGCCATCTTCCATTTTGGCTTTTGGATAGTTAAGTATTAGTTTTGTTGCTTGTTCCCATTTTGCATGTGTATCTTCCCAAGCCTAAAATGAAGGCAATTATCACTTGAAAGCAACTTTAAGTCTAAAATTAAACACCAATCAGCAACAGCCAAGTTTCAAACTTGATGTATATTAAGTACTCAGATATTATACTTGTAATATGCACATATCTTGGATTTACTTCAAAAGCTATTCCTGATCACACATATGTAACAAGAGGCTTCCAAAATTGAGGGTGGGGGGCCTGGGAGGGGTGTTTCTGTTGTGAAGGGCCTACCTCAGTGTTTCCTGCAGTGGGATGCTCAATGCGCCTCAGTAGTGCCATCACTCTTTTCTGAAGTGCTGCTCTTCCTAAGCAAATACAAGAGCAAATCAAGTTACTGCACTTGGAGCCCTGCCTGCCAGTGGAGAACCTGATAAGCCCCACTCAAAAGGCAGAGTAGGAGGAGCAGAACAAATGCTTCAAATGATAAAGCCAAAAACTTCCTTTTACTAACCTCACAGGAAAGGTACTTATCTTGGACTTTTATCTTGGAATGGCATAAAATAGCTGTTCCCACCTATAATTTACTCAAAACATATGCCAATGTGTGTAAAACTTCACCATCTACAACGTAGGCAGAATAAATTACATAATCATAATTGATGGTAACATATACTGCCAGTTATTTTAAAAATGTACAGCATATTAAAAATTCAGTGAGAGACTAACAGTTTAGTTCAAATGCTATTTATTTTCATCTTACTTTGTTCAGAAAAGGATTTCAAGTAAGCTACTTGAATTTCCCCTGAAACTTACAAAGCAGTAACCTTAAATACATTCTCACAATCAGATGCCAGGGGCTTTGAGGCAGACTAAGTAAAAAAAAACCGCTATTCGCATTTACCTGTTGACATCATATTGCTGACAGAGGCAAACTCCATGAATGTGTTATAGTTGGGCAAGAGGTTATGTACTGACACTTCATCCACACCACACCGGATATCTGCTTCCTCGCAGAGGTGGCGAAAACAAGACATGGCAACCAGAACAGCTTCAGTGTCAGGGTTCCACAGAAACATGTACAAGGCCACTTCTAGTTTGGTCTGGGCTTGTCGGCAAATTGGTGGGGTTCCACTGCATCCTGCTGCACTATCCTGAGAGTCAAGGGTGGAAGACGTGTATCTGTAACTTGGGTAATTTTATGTATAAAACCCAACAATGCAGTAAACTGTATGTGTGTGTATAAATATCTCAGTATACAGTAACTCACAAGAGCTTTTTCCTTTAATCATTATAGAAATTTTTCAAACCCCAAAACATCTTGTCCAAATGAGAAATGAGATTATCTGGACCAACATAATGCTACTATCTGTCCAAGTCAAATCAAATAGGCATTATCCTATTCCAGATTCCAGACATGTAAACTGATTCTAACATGGACAGGTAAAACACCATAACATAAAACTACTGCAGTAATGATATAATGCACTTCCCAGTGAATTAGAAATGACAGAAAAAAAGGAAGTAACAGGAAATTCTATCTATTTGCTATAGGGAAGTAATAAAATAAGTACACTGCAGTACTCACTGAAACAAGGGCATAAACAAGAACTAAATATTGCTGTAGAAGATATACCTGATTCTGAATTACTATTCCCCAAACATGAAATGGAGAAAATAATTGACAAAATAAATGCAAATTCTACAAGTAAAGCAGACAACAGTAAATACCATACTGCTTACATGTTTTTTTCCCTTAACAGAAAATTATGTTAAAAATTATGGGTGAAAAATGTTTTGGTTTGGAAAATAAACTCTTCTGTAGTGATTTGATATTTTTACTTGAAATATGATTTGTATTTAAAAGAAATTATACACACAAACACAAATCACAGAAACACTTATCTTTAACATGAAGCAAAATACTTTGTTTTTATCCCTGTAAAAATACCTTTGTTAGCTGATACAACTTCTATACTTCTGTGCTATGAACGGCTTCTTTTTTATGTGGGGGAGGTTTGTAATAATTACGTTGATCAGAAATAGCTTGTAAGTGTCAAGTGCTATTTACACATCCTTTTATTTAACCTTCACAACAACTCTGGGGCAGGAATTATTATTGTCCCCATTCTAAAGTTGAAGAACTGATGAACAAGGATGTTAAGAACTTGTCCAAAGTTCCACAAAGAGCAGTGACAGAACTAAAGTCTACACAGTTTTTCAGTATTACACTATGTTACCTAGATGACATTTACCAAAGTTTATTCAGAAAACAAATAGAGCACACATGATGATACCGGAAAATTACAAAAGAAGCTGACCATAGAGGAGTTCCCTTTTCCCTTCCGGAGAGAGGCTCCAGGAGTACGGAGTAACTCTTCATGATCCATGGACATTTGACTGGTATTTCCACTAGAAGGGATATCACATCCTACCCCATAAAAAAGCAGAAAGTGACAGGAACTTCTATCTGCCTGCTAGAAAAAAGAAATAAATAAGCTTTATGGAAGCACTGACAACCAAGAGTAATAAACTTATTTGAGTTGTTTTCCTGTTTGAGACTCTCCTAGAAAACCCCTCCTCTCAATCTCTATGCCCCACCTTGAAGGAGATTCACTAAAAACCCATTAGGACAAATAATGTTTACTTAAATGTCTTTAAAATTTCTTTCAGTTTCTCATTCTCTAAATCATCTGAAACAGTAGATTCTACAAATATAAATTAAGTCTAACATAAACACAAGTAAAACATCAACGAAATAAATCTACTGTATGAAAACTATAATTCGATCTCAATGACAAAATTTTTTTCCATAAGATTTTATCCTGTGCCATGTTGGGATAACTAGAAAATTGACTCTTCAGATTAAGTTCTCTGGACCAGTAATTAATCCTGGTATATACACCAAGTATGTCACAAGAGTGACTGTGCTGACCAGGACACTAGGAATTCATTACTGGATTCCTCATACTTGTATTCTGAAGATTATACCATAGGCAAGCGCATGAAAGTCTGAGGTCTAATCTCTTTCCGTATCTTTGGAATAACATCAAATTCCACTACATTAACACATCAAATGAGCCAAATGTGAATAAACCCACTTCACCATAGTTTATTTCTAAACAGAGACAATTTATTAATAAAAAGCCGCATAACACTGAGAAGCATATGCATTTCATACATTTAAGATTTTTCACAGCTATGATTCTAGTACCAGATAAAAACTCATTAAATCAAGTACTCCTAAAACTAGATCGTAATAGAATTCCTAAATTGATTTGATTATAGAAACTATATGTTAAAAGAAATTTAAGCCTCTTTCTTATCCTCCACAACCTCACCATGTTTCAACAGTTCAGAATCAAAAAATTTCACTCTACCCCAATGAAGAAGTCTCCTGATATTTTCAAGAGGTGAAACCCTTATTGGAGGAATAGAAATAAACCTAGTTTGAGGACCCTCAACCTTTTCCCTTTTGCTTCTTGACATGTAATTCTCTGAACCAGTCTAGCCATGAGATCTAGGTCTTTACCATTTCTCAGAGCTATGATTCTAGAACTGGACAAAAACTCATTAAATCAAGTACTCCTAAATCTATGCCATAACAGAATTCTTAAATTAATTATAGAAGCTATATGTTAAAATAAATTTTACATAGGAGTTATGTCTTATGTATGAACTTGAGAATAAAGATAGAATATGCTCCTTAAGCTCCTTTGGTTATAGCAGCCCCCATTTTTCCTAGGCCTGCCCCATAGAGACCTATTTAACTCAACTAAGACTAGAATTTATCAACAGTGTGGTTTTAAGGCCAAAGCCTCAGAATAATTTTTTAACTGCAGATTTGCCAGCCATTGTCCTCTGCATATATATTTCCTTTTGAGAATCTTGGGGAGAAGGGGGAGCTGAAATAGAAGCTAATTTGGCTATAAAACATTTTCTTAATCTCTCCCCATTCCCATTCCAAATATTCTTCCATTTTTTAAAGATGCCATTTTGCTTACCTTATTTTTAAGAAGAAATTTATTCCTGCAGATCAAAATTTCCCGCAACCACTTGAGAATTTCTGTGCTACTAAGCATTTGATGACTAGTTAATTTCTTGCAGATGTAAAAAAGCATTTGTGAGCTGCAATAACATAAAGTTCATTGTTGCTAGCATCATCAATAACCTAATACAGATATAACCAGACATAAGAATGGCATTCTCTCATAATGAATACAAGTTTAGAGAAGCGTCGTTTCCCTTGCAGGGTTTTAGAGAAGTAGTTATTAAAGTGTCAACAGCACTATAATCAAAGGAAATAAGTTTATAGGTCATAGAAAAAAAGCAAGTATTTATTTATAAGCCCCCTACGTTTTATTAAACTCCCAGTGTTTCTAACTGTGTATCTCATCCTTGCAGCAGACATAAGAAGAAACAATAAAGCACATGCACCACAGAGTCTGTCTCTAAACACAGTGCTCCACAGCATGGGGGAGGCATCCACAGGCCAAATCCAGACTACCACTTGCTATTGTAAATATAAAGTTTTAGTCAAACACAACTACACCCATTCATGCACATGTTGTCTGTGGCCACTTTCATGCTCCAAAGGTGGAACCAAATAGTTATGACAGAAACTGTATGACCCACAAAGCCCAAAGTATTTACTATCTGGCCTTTTAGAGAAGTTTCCTGATCCCTACTCTAGAGCTGCATTGTAACAGGGTAGCCACTAGCCAGTCACACAGGGCTATTGAGCACTTTAAGTGTGGCTTGTTCAAACTGAGATGTGTTGAAAGTATAAAAGACACACCAAAGTTTGAAGACTTTATTAAAAAAAAAAAGAAAGAATATGTCATTAATAACTTTTATATTGATTACATGTTGAAATTATGTTATAAATAACATATAGTGGGTGAAATAAAACATTATTAAAATTAATTTTACCTGCTTCTTTTTAGTCTTTAATGTAGTAACTAGAAAATTTTCGATAACATATGGGACTTCTCATTATATTACTATTGGAGAGAACTGTCCTACAGTAAGATTTAATTGAGCTGCCAAGTAACTTAGGACACCCATTCCTATAAGATAATGGCAAACTTGAGGTTCACACATTTACATTTTCCTCAAGGTGGTGACTTCATGCTCATTAAAATGTAATGATTTATATAATCTTGGAAGTAGACCATAAAATTCTGTATATATTTTTGTCTTCTAGGCAGGTGTCCATTATAAATTCCTTCATCGAAAGCACTGGTATTACAGAAAGTTTATGAAAAACCACAGTTTAAAAAACTGAAAAACAATATTTTACAAAATTTTATCATTCTAGGCTTATAACTGTGAAAATCTATTAAAAACACAGTAGTAACCACATCGAAATCTGAAAAAGGTAAAATACCAAACAACAGTACTTATGGTTGGGTGACAAAATTTAGCAATATTCTTAAAATTTATTTTCTAAATTGCTGTGACATTTTTATTACAGTTAAAACAAGAAATTGTAATAATTTGAAGTCAAATAAAATACAAAATCATAAAACCTTTGGAAGCAGAAGTTTTACAATGTACTAAACACTATAGAGTTCATAATTCAAGACAGAAATACAAAATAAAATTTTAAAGTTGAATTTAAAAAATAAAAGTACAAATACCTAATCTCCCAAAATGTTTCTACAGGAGCATCAGGATTCCACAAGTCAATGCTATCTAACTGATGAAGAACCAGCAGGGCCTGAATTTTTTTAAAAAAAGAAAGACAAAGAGAAGACTCAAACATTTTTGGTAAACATAACACTGGAATACTTATTTTACAAATGCTAAGAAATTGAGCTATTTCATTTATAGTTTCAACATACAGGAAAAGGTAAAACAGATAAACTCTGGCAAACACAAACCTCTAAGGAATAATATAGACAGAATAAAATAATTTTATTCCCATGATTCTTACTCTAATTGGCATGTACATATAAACCTAAATGATGAATTCACAACAATATAGAACTATAAAAACTGCTTTAAGAAACAAACAAAATAATTTCAATAGCTATTAAAGAACTCAAACAAAAAGTTGATCCTCAAGAAGGACCTGTTAAAATTAATACACACAGGAAAAGATAAGCAAAACTGTCTCATTTGCGACAAATTCTCTTGTAACAGAAAAAAGCAATTTTTCAAAATCAAGAGAGAGAAAGCAAAATGGATTTTGTATTTCATAGCAGATTATCCATTCTAGAGTATTTCACTTGACCACAGAAGTAAAATTGGAATTTGGTTCAGAGAAATTTAGTCAATTTCTATGACTTTAAAAATTTTATGAATATAACTCAAAAGGAAAAAGCTGCACACAGAGGTACTTGTTGCTCTTTATTACTATAGGAGAAAATTAGGAGAACTTTACTAGGAGGAGAATGGATTAATATTGAGTAATGAGAATGGTATTTTAACTTCATGAGCTGTTAAACATTCATTAAAACCTATATAGATCACACAGCAACACGGAAAAATATGAAATGTCAAGTGAGTATACTGTGTTTATGGCTTTGTTAAAACATGGAAAATGAAAAGAGAGAGAGAGAGAGAGAGAGAGAGAGAGAGAGAGAAGGGAACATGAAAATCAAAGCAGAGAATAGACTAACATGTTTTCTTTCAATATATATTTGTAAAGTTTTATCAAACAAAAATATAGAGAATTTGTCACTTGAAAAAACCAGTGCCAGTAAATTGTACCAAGTTTCTGCACAATAGCAGCAAAACTGAATTTTAATTTGTGTTGTTTTTCCTTGATATGAGAGCTATAGATTATATGCGTTTTAAGATTCTCACAATTAATTGCAATTTTCATTAAATATCTCAAAGTAATTACAATAAAAATGTTTGAAATAAGATACTGAGTCTGACCTTTATATGGTTATATAAGTGAATTATTTAATACATATTGTAATATGTAACATATATATATTATATATATTAAATAATTCACATACAATATATAACATGTTACATATTACAATAAATAGATTATTGCATAAATTAGCCTATTATGTAAATTAAAACCATCAAAGACATAAAGAATAAAATGTAGACTCTTTCTTCAAACTGATCCTATCTTAACTCCAATTCTACAATCCCAGCAAACATTACTCCCACCACCCCAAGACCCCCAACCCAGTGAACACTGTTAAGCTCTGCACATTTCTTTCAGTCCTTGGTCAAGGTATCAACATATAAAAGCCAGACTCATGTTATCTTATTTCAAACATTTTTATTGTAATTACTTTGAGAAATTTAATGAAAATTGCAATTAATTGTGAGACTTAAAAAGCTATATAATTTACAGCTCTCATATCAAGGAAAAACAACACAAATTAAAATTCAGTTTTGCTGCTATTGTGCAGAAACTTGGTACAATTTACTGGCACTAGTTTTTTCAAGTGACAAATTCTCTAAATTTTTGTTTGATAAAACTTTACAAATATATATTGAAAGAAAACGTGTTACTCTATTCTCTGCTTTGATTTTCATGTTCCCTTCTTTTTTTTTTTTTTTTCATTTTCCATGTTTTAACAAAGCCATAAACACAGTATACTCACTTGACATTTCATATTTTTCCATGTTGCTGTGTGATCTATATAGGTTTTAATGAATGTTTAACAGCTCATGAAGTTAAAATACCATTCTCATTACTGAATATTAACCCATTCTCCTCCTAGTAAAGTTCTCTTAATATTCTATTATAATTAAGTGCAATAAGTACCTATGTGTGCAGTTTTTTCCTTGAGTTATATTCATAAGATTTCTAAAGTCGTAGAAATTGAATTATTTGTACAAAAAAAGGAAATGTTTGTATAGCTCCTGCTAGATAGCCTTCCAAAAAGACTGCAAGAAATGTGTCAACATACAAGACCAATAGCAATGTACAAAAATGAAAGCAATGATTACATAATAAATGCTAAAGCATGTTTTATAAATGTTTTTACTTTAGTATGTCTAAACATTTTTACAGTATGTATATTAGGATGGCTATAATAAAAAAGACACATTAGGCCGGGCGTGGTGGCTCATGCCTGTAATCCCAGCACTTTGGGAGGCCGAGGCGGGTGGATCATGAGGTCAAGAGATCGAGACCATCCTGGTCAACGTGGTGAAACCCCGTCTCCACTAAAACTACAAAAAATTAGCTGGGCATGGTGGCGCGTGCCTGTAATCCCAGCTACTCAGGAGGCTGAGGCAGGAGAATTGCCTGAACCCGGGAGGCGGAGGTTGCGGTGAGCCGAGATCGCGCCATTGCACTCCAGCCTGGGTAACAAGAGCGAAACTCCGTCTCACAAAAAAAAAAAAAAAAAAAAAAAGACACATTATAACAAGTGTTAGCAAGAATGCAGAAATACTAAACCTTCATACATTATTATGGGGAATATAAAATGACACGGCTGCTTTGGAAAAGAGTTTTTGACAGTTCCTCAAATGTTCTACAGAGTTACCATATGACTTAGCACTTCCACTCCTATATACTTAAGAGATATGTCCATATAGATTTTTACACAAATATTTATAGCAGCATTATTCATAATAGCCAAAAAGTGGAAACAACCCCAAACATCCACCAATTGATAACTAAACAAAACTGAGATCCATAAAATGAAATATTTGGCAATAAAAAGGAAAGAAATACTGATTCATACCACAACATGAATGAACCTTGAAAACATGTTAAGGTAGCCAGACATAAAAGGCACATATTCTATGATTCTAGTTATACGAAATGTCTAAAACAAGAGAATCCATAGAAACAGAAAATAGATTAGTAGCTGGTAAGGATGAGGGAAGGGGAGTGAAGTTTCTTTCTGGGGTGATAAAAATGTTATGGAATTAGAGAGTAGTGGTAGTTGCACAACTGTGTGAATACACTAAGAACCACTTAAAATGGTCAACTTGAGGCTATGTGAATTATGTCTCAATTTAAAAATCAATATTTTTAATACTTAATATAAATACTTTTAAAAATTTTAGTCAACTGCAATGAGAAAATCTTGAACTATTTTATTAAGTATAAGAATTTGTACAATGTTGTTGCTATGTGATATAAAGCAAGTAAGCCCCTTCTTTCTCTATGAAATTTTATAAAACAATGTATAAACATACCATTTCCAGAAATGACATCTACCTATTACTCATAGAAACTACACACCAAACAAACATCATGAATGTACAGTTACAACCTTTCCTTCAAGAACCTGGAATTCATTTTCCCCTTACCTCCATTGCTTCCTGAGCGATCTCTGGCATGTGCGACTGAGGGACTAGTTGGACAAGCCCAGTAATTAATTCCGCTGTACTGCCTTGGGTTTCAGGTCCCTGTTTTCTTGGATTCTGCAAGGAAAAAAAGGAAACTTCCGTTAAAAAATAAATAAATCGAGAGAGATTAGAGGGAGGAAGGAATAGGTGGCAACTGCTAAAGAGTACTAGGCTTCTTTAAGGGGTGATAACAACGTTCTAGAACTAGGCCAGACTCAGTGGTTCACACCTGTAAGCCCAGCACTTTGGGAGGCCATGACTGGTTCACCTGAGTTCAGGAGTTTGAGACCAGCCTGACCAATATGGTGAAACCGTTTCTTCACCAAAAATATAAAAACTAGCTGGGCATGGTGGTATGCGCCTATAGTCCCAGTACTTGGGAGGCTGAGGCAGAAGAATTACTTGAACCTGGGAAGTGGAAGTTGTAGTGAGCCGAGATTGTGCCACTGCACTCTAGCCTAGGGGACAGCAAGACTCTATCTCAAAAAAAAAAAGGTTAAAAAAAAGTTCTGGAATTAAACAGTGGTAATGGTTGCAGAACCTTATAAATATACCGAAAACAACTGAATTGTAAACTTTAAAATGGTGAATTTTATGGTATGTGGGTATGGTATTTTTATCTCAATAAAATAATAAAAGTTTTGTTAAATCAAAACTTCTTTTATTAAGGATTCTTTTAATCCACATCATTAATGTGAATGATGTCCAGGGAAAATCCTAATGAAAGAAAACCATTAATTCCCACTAAAAATTACATCAATAATATGAGTAGTAATTTTTTTCCCCCAACAATTGTAAACTAGCTAAAGAACATTATCTCTGGTTTGGAATTTACTGGTTTTGAGCTTATACATGATTGTGATCAAAGGCAAAGGACATACATGTTGGATAAGGACCTCGTGATTATCCTGTACAGTCCGCTTGTCCCATACAAAGGTCCTGCCCAAATCCACACAGCTGGTGACAAATCAAAGGCTAGAATTCACATCACCAGATACTCATACTTTTCACTGCGGAAAAATGTAATATACTAAGCAAAGAAAATTAACATCGCATACACCTACCTTTTTTTTTTTTTTTTTTTTGGGGAGACGGAGTTTCGCTCTTCACACCCACGCTGGACTGCAATGGCATAATCTCGGCTCACTGCAAACTTTGCCTCCTGAATTCAAGCGATTCTCCTGCCTCAGCCTCCCGAATAGCTGGGATTACAGGCATGCGCCACCATGTCCAGCTAATTTTTGCATTATTAGTAGAGACAGGGTTTCACCATGTTGGCCAGGCTGGTCTCTAGCTCCCAACCTCAGGTGATCCGCCCACCCTGGCTTCCAAAGTGTTGAGATTACAGGCGTGAGTCACCGCACCTGGCCAAATGCCTACCTACTTAAAAAGACTAAAATGTTTCTCATAACTTGGAAGCATATATTTGTACTTCAAGAATATATGGTTTAGCCAAGCACGGTGGCTCATGCCTGTAATCCCCGCACTTTGGGAGGCCAAGGCGGGCAGATTGCTTGAGGTCAGGAGTTTGAGACCAGCCTGGCCAACATGGAGAAACCCTGTCTCTACTAAAAGTACAAAAATTAGCCAGGTGTGGTGGCGGGTGCCTGTAATCTCAGCTACTTGGGAGGCTGAGGCAGAAGAATCACTTGAACCCAGGAGGTGGAGGTTGCAGTGAGCCGAGATTACACCACTCCAGCCTGGGCAACACAGTAAGACTGTGTCTCAAAAAAGCAAAAACAAAAGAATACATGAGGCCAATGCAACTTGTGTCCCTTATTTTATTTTGCTAACTATAGATTCTTCCCCATTATCACGACTAAGGTAAGCCCACACTCCAATATCTGTAATTCAAAACTGTTAGCCTATTTTCTAACATTTATATAAATTCATTCGTAACCCAATAATTTGTATTGAATACCAAATACACAACAATGAAAAAGAAAAGATGTGTTTCCCATCCTCCAGGAACACGAAGTCTCATGGGGGAAGATATCATCAATAAAATAATCAGACCAACAAGCATAAAAATGCAAATCTCATAAGAGCTATAAAGGCACATGCTGCTATGACAGCCTATAACATGGAAAAGTACCCTAGTCAGGGAAGCTTCCTCAGTGCAGTGACAATAGCTTAGAATTAGTAGGAATTACCATGTGAAGAGTAAGCAGAGTCCAGGCAGAGGGAAAAGCAAGCTCAAGGGAGGAATGAAGGCATGTGGTTGGAAAGTTTGAAAGGGAGACTATCATGAATAGAGTAGAGAGGACAAAAAATGTAATGCTGCACGTGGAAGAAATGGTAGGTGGGAGAAAGATTTTTACACGACCTGGTAGATCTATTTGGAGTTTGGTCCTTATAAGCAAGAACAATTTCAACTAAAAGGTTTCAAGCTGAGCAAGGGCATAATAAGATTTGTTTTTTAAAGAGATTGCCATTAACTTCAGCGTGGAGAAATGATCAGGAGGGTCTATGAAGCGATGCAAGCTGAGTAATTAGGTGACTTGAGAAATTGAGATGGAAGACAAAATCATATTACTTTTAAAAATATCACGATTGAGACCATTTAACAATTATTCCTACATTCTTCCAAAATTACTAAGACTCAGAATTTTTATGTAAAAGACAAAATGGTCAAATATTTACAATGAATCATCTATTTTAATGTAATTATGGTTACTTTGAGAAAACTTATTAACCACTAGATGGCAGCAAAGCAAACGATTTCCATTTTAAATGGCCCTTCGAAAATAGCAAGTTTTGCTTAAATTTTTCTTCAAACAACATTTAGTAGAAAAGGCATTGGTGAGTTTGGTGCCTTCTTTGAATGTGAAATATGGCCATGTAAACAGAGTGCTGCTAATATTATGTGACCTTCATGATGAAATAATGTCACGAATAGCTTGTGACACATGACAAAGGAATGAGGAGAAAGGGAATTTCATTATTTTTATCGAGTTTCACTGACAGATTTTATGGAATCTTTTTCATGCCAAAGGTCTGTTTATTTTAACTAGACTCTCAAAGTTGAATGGGTTTTTCAGGGTTCAAAGTATCATACATAGGTCTTCTTTAGGGGTGGCTGATCCTTTGGGAATGTTTTTTCCCTCTTTCTTCTCTCCTCTTCATTCTCCAAGGAAAATTACTCATAAATACAGATTTTTAAAAATTCAAGAGGTTTCATAGAACTCTTGGAACTATAGGCATGTAGTTATAAACTCCCTATATTACAGTAATTTGAAAAATATGCCATCAAAATTGAAAGCACTTTAATACTTTTTAAAAAGCCTGTTACTGAACAAAGCAAATAAGAAACCTTGCTTGATGTTGCTCTCCAAGGACTGATGAAATTCAACAAAGGTTAAACATGTCATCCTATGAAAGTCACAATATAGAACTATTACATTTGGGGCATTAATAATATTAATGTTAAATTGTATCTTATTAATAGCAGTAATAGCTAACATTTATTTAGTCCTTATTATGCACCAGGCATTGTTCCTAAAAGCACTGCATGTACTATTTCAATCTTCTTTACAATCTCTCTGAGATAGGAACGATTATTATCCCAATACTTCAGATGAGAAAGCTAAGGCATAGAAAGGTTAGTCACCCAAATCACATAACTAGTAAGTAGTCTGTCTCCAGCATCCATGCTGTTAATCACTTCACTATGACTCATCTTTATTATGTGCATTGTTTCTAATTACTCTGTATAGCAGAGTGAAGTTCTCAGGAATCTAATACTATCTGAGACAATAAGAGTAGTTATGACAATAACTGAGTACTAGCCAGTTACAATGGCTCATGCCTGTAATCCCAGCACTTGGGGAAGCCGAGGCTGGAGGATCGCTTGAGGCCAGGAGTTTGAGGTTGCAATGAGCCATCACTGCACCACTGCACTGCAGCCTCGGAAGCAGAGCGAGACTCTATCTCAAAATAATAATAATTTGAGTACTAACCACACCCATTTTCACCTCATTCTATTTCCAATACAGTATTTGTAGGGAGAGCCAATGATAACAGAAAGCTGATAACAGGAAGAAAGGCGGAAAGAAAAGCTAAATTGGCAACAGCAACTGGAGATTTTTTAAACCAATGGTGTAGATGTAGGCAGCACTGTGATTGATAGTCGCTTCTATACCCCATACCAGGATAATACCTGAATAATACATAACCTAGCAATCGGATGAGAACAGAGATCTCACCAAAGTATGTTAGTTTAATGATAGAAAAATTAAGAAAAAAGAGAAATGTTAAGAAAACATAAGGGCAATTAATAATCTGATATAATTATGTTAGTATTCATTATACATTAGTTTCTTAGAGGTGTAAGGTTTTCAGGTATGATAAGAAAGGATCAGTAAGTAGTCTTGAGCTAAAAATTATCTTCAAGGTCTTGGCATTTCAGTTAAACCAAATTAAGTTAGTGTGATAATTTTGAGACACTTCATAAGAAAATACTTACACAAAGCAAGAGCTTTGGATCTGCATGAATTAGTTTCACCATGGACAAGAGAAGATACTTATAGCTTCTTGTCTCCAGGTCTGTAGGCTTTTCTTTAAATTTAAGGCTTGTTACTTTTTCTTTAAATGTAAGACTCTAAAAACGAAACAAAAACATGGTATCAGACATAAAATTCAGGACAATAGCCATCCAACCTTTTAAAAGAAATGTATTATTTAAAAACTTTCAAAAAAGATATTTTTTATACTGCCAAATGTGTGGTATAAGTAGAAATAATAGTAAGCATAAGGTCAATATTAAGCTTAAAAAAATTGAAAACTGTTTTACATCATATTATTTTTTAATCAATCTAATAAAACAATGAAAATCTATTGCAATACTAAAAGCTTAATATCAGGTTGCACAAAATCTCCTATGCAAAAAAACGATTTTCCAAAATGTAAAAACACAAGGGAAAAAATATTTGGTCTATAGTTCTCACAAATATACATACTGGGTAATTCATTTAACAAACACTTACTCCCCACACATATACAAGTATTTCACAGACTCTACAAAATTATCAATTGTAAGATGCATCATTTGATGTCCCAAAAGGAATGAAAAACCGCTGTCAAATGTAAGACACCATTTAACATAAGATACACTCCAAATTTCAGAGAAGAATAAAAATAAGTGCTTCTTAGAAGCAATGAAATATGTTATACAGGCAATCTCTGTATTAACTAGTTTAATTGTAAAATTTGCTTTTTCCTTCTGTGGTATTCCATCTCTTTCAAGTTACAGAATGCATGCATTTTGCCTGAAGAACGTTCATAAAACAGAAACAACTCTGAGAAAGGTAAACTTACAGCAAATATGTTTCAATTACAGAGATATATGATTAACTAAAATAAGTATAGATGTTTTTCAACCAAAAATCCAACAATTATATTCTGGATCTAATACCACTTATTATTATAAAACATTTCCTTCCTTTTTTTCCTTTACAAGAACACAACACTATCTGATTTTGACATGAATGCCTTTATGTAAACATATATATAATATGGAACTAGTAGACTGTATACCCACTGTGGGCCCATAATACAAATGCCCAAGTAAACAGGCAGTCTTTCTAAGTTAAAAACCAGACATGCATATCTACAATACAAATTAAGTATCCTCAATGTTTAAGTGAGAGAAATGCATTTGTTATTATACCCAAGAACACTCAAGGGCTTTCGTCCTCAGAGGGGAAGAATAGAGATTTAATCTATACATTTATACTCAAGAATGTCACTACAGAAGAGAAACAGCAAAACTTACAAATAGTTTGCTTTTATATTTATAACTGCCCTCCAACCCCAAGGCAAATGTTTTACCAAATGATTTAATAAATTCTGGTTTTACTGTTTGCTCTCTTTAAACTGTATTTTTTCCTCTAAGTTGAAGTGTTTCACCTTAGATCAAGCTAAAACTTTGATTAAACAAATTTATTTACTTAAGTGTAACTATCAAGCAGCTCTTCCCTGAGGCAGGCATTGTATAGGAACACAAGATGAGAGAACAATGAGCAGATATAAGAATTTTTCCTTATTTAAGAATCATTTCCCAAAAAAAGTAAATAGAGTCATACGGCACAAACAACATTTTAGTCAATGATAGGCAATATCACTGTCTATCAGATATCAGAGTTGAAAAGTTCCTATCACTTTGATACCAGTTACAAAAAAAAAAAAAAAATTCCTATCACTTAGTGACAGTCATCATGATGTCCAAGTACAATGCATTACTTTTTGTTCGTAGTGATGGTGGTATAAACAAACCTTCACTTCTAGTCATATAAAAAAAAGTATAGCACATACATTTATGTACAGTATATAATACTTGATAATGAAAATAAATGTTACTGATGTATGTATTTACTACAGTATACTTTTTTTTTTTTTTTTTGAGATGGAGTCTCACTTTGTTGCCCAGGCTGGAGTGCAGTGGCGTGATCTCGGCTCACCACAACCTCTGCCTCCTGGGTTCAAGCAATTCTCCTGCCTCAGCCTCCTGAGTAGCTGGGATTACAAGTGTGCACCACCATGACCAACTAATTGTTTTGTATTTTTAGAAGAGAAGGGGTTTCACCATGTTGGCCAGGCTGGTCTCGAACTCCTGACCTCAGGTGATCCATTTTCCTCAGCCTCCTAAAGTGCTGGGATTACAGGTGTGAGCCACCAGGCTGCCTACTATCATATACTTTTTATTGTTATTTTAGAGTATATTCCTTCTTAAAGATAAAAAGATAACTATGAAACAGCCTCAGAAGGTCCTTCAGAAGATATTCCAGAAGAAGGCACTGTTACCACAAGAGATGACAGCTCCACACGTTATGTCCTCTAAAAATCTTCCAATGGGACCAGATATGGAGGTGGAAGACAGTAACACTGATGATCTTGACCCCATGTAGGCCTAGGCTAAGGTGTATGTTTGTATCTCAGTTCTTAACAAGATTTTCAAAATTAAAATTAAAATAGAACATTCTTCAAATAGAAAAAACTTACAGGATATAAAGAAAAATATTTTTATACAGCTAGCTGTACAATGTGTTTTAAGTGTTATTACAAGGGTCAAAAAGTTAAAAAATTTAAAAGTTCACAAATTTTAAAAGCTACAGCAAAATTAGCATCAAAGAAACAAATAATTTTTATAAATTTGGTGTAGCTTAAGTATACAGTGATTATGAAGTCTACAGTACAGATCCTGAGTATAAGAAAAAAGCAAAAAAGTATTAAAAGTAAATGAAATAAAAAAACTTTTAAGTGTACAGTAGTGTACAGTAATGTCCTAGGCCTTACATTCCCTCAACACTCACTCAATGACTCACCCAGAGCAACTTCCAGTCTTGCAAACTCCATTCATGTTAATTGCCCTATACATTTTTTTTTCTTGTATGCTGTATTGTTACTGCAACTTTTCTGTTTGAATAAACAGATACCATTGTGCTACAACTGCCCATAGTATTCAGTACAGTAACATGCTATACGTATTTGCAGCCCGGAAGCAATAGGCTAGACCAAATATCCTAGGTATGCTGAAGGCTATATAACCATCTAGGTTCTGTAAGTAGACTCTATGATGTTTGTACAATGACTGAATCACTAAGGTTGCACTCATTTCATGTCCCTGTCATTAAGTGATGTATGACTATATTAATTATGTCACCTCTTAATCCCAGGTAGCAGCATGTAAATTCTGTTCCAACATGCAGTCTAATATGAAATGCATGACTTCAGAAATTCCAACAAATTTAATTCATGTCAAATACCTTTTAATTTTAGTGGGTTACATAAAGTCAGGAACAACATGCTAAAGAAGAAATGTAAACAAATTTCTTAATTAGAAATGTAAGAAAAAATCATTCATTCATTAGTTGATCTTCAATGTTGCAGTACGTATAGTAGGAATACAAGCTCGTACATGCGATCTGGCCAAAGATGAAAGGTAGTCATGTCTGGGAAGAAATTCATGAACCAGAGTCTTCAGGTATCTATTAAAGACCCAAACCATTTGTTAATTTAGACCATGTGACTGAATTACAGGCATGTAAGAAAGATCTGAGCCAACATGCCATTTAAGATAAAAAATGTTGAGAAATAATATGTATTTGTGAAAATTCATACAATTCTGTTATTGGCAGTTTTGAAATTTATGAAAGCAGGAGATGTTAGTTGTCAAAGAGTAAAATTAGTGCTAAGACAAACATTTCAAATATTTTAAAAATACTAAAAAAGTACAGTGGAGGAGAAGCTATGGCTCGACATTCATATAAAAATAGCCAAAGAGATTAAATAACTAAAAAGTCAATATAAAATAATACTATCTTAGATTATATTAATAGAAACAGGGTATACAAACACAACGGTTTAATACTAACATCAGATCTTAACATGGCATTTTAATTTTAAAAATTTTTGTTAGGTTGGCCCTTCCAGAAGAGAAGCAAATCAGATCAAGGAGAGTTTTTGGTTTTTTGTTTTTGTTTTTTTGAGACAGAGTCTTGCTCTGTTGCCCAGGCTGGAGTACAGTGACATGATCTTGGCTCACTGCAACCTCCACCTCCCGGGTTCAAGGGATCCTGCCTCAGCCTCCTGAGTAGCTAGAACTACAGGCACCTGCCACCACGCCTGGCTAATTTTTTTGTATTTTTAGTCGAGAAGGGGTTTCACCATGTTGACCAGGGAGGTCTCAAACTCCTGGTTTCAAGTGATCTGCCGGCCCCGGACTCCCAAAGTGCTGGTATTATAGGCATGAGCCACCGTGCCTGGCATGGAAGAGGGTTTTGAAACCAGATCAAATAAGAAATTCATTCCTTCATTCATTCTGCAAATATGTACTAAATGCCCAGTATGTACCAGGCATTGTTCAAAAGCCAGGGATTCAGTGTTGAATAAGCCAAAGCTCCTGCTTTCATCAAGCTAACTTGCTAGTGAAGGACACTAAAGAACCTGATGAGACACTGAACTGAATGTCAAGAAACCTCAGAACTAACTCTGGTTGACTATTCATTAACCATGTAACTATCTGTTATTAATATAACTTTATTTAAGCTTCAGTTTCCTTAGCTATAAAAACAGACCTAACAAACATATACACTGTTAAAGAGAGCTAAAAGAGGCTGGGTGTGGTGGCTCATGCCTGTAATCCCAGCACTTTGGGAGATCAAGGCAGGTGAATCACTTGAGGTCAGAGTTCAAGAGCAGTCTGCCCAAAATGGTGAAATCCTGTCTCTACCAAAAATGCAAAATTAGCCGGGTATGATGACAGGCACCTGTAATCCCCGCTACTCAGGAGGCTAAGGCAGGGGAATCACATGAACCTAGGAGGTGGAGGTTGGAGTGAGCCGAAATCGCATCACTGCACTCCATCCTGGGTGACAGAGTAGGACTCTGTCTCAAGGGGGGAAAAAAGGAGCTAAAAGAATAAAATCTCTTCCAATGCCAAAACTACATAAAAATAAAAAGAATTCTATGAAGAGTACAGAATAGAATTCTGATTAAGGATTCTTAATGAAATATCTGCAGGGCTGCCTTGTGGAAGAATCGGAAGTATTCTATAGAACTCCAAAAGAAAGAGAATCAATGATGGCTGGAAGTGACAGAGACATGATTCTACCATGATTGAAGAGAAAATTTTCAAATAGCTCCTTCCAACAAGTAACTTGTCTCTCCAAAATACAAAGTGTTTGTAAAGCGCTGAAGCAGACATTATTTTACTTTCACTGTTTTGCAAATTGAACTCCTTGATTGCTACTTCTGAAGCAAGCTAATGGCTCAGGTTTATCGGGGTCCCAAATCATTTGAGGCAATACAAATGAGGCACAGCCCACTGAACATATGCTGTAATACAGTGGTTCTCAACTGGGGGGTTACTTTTGTCCCCCAGGGGACATCTGGAAATATTCAGAGGGATGTTTGGTTTTCATGACTGGAAGGGGTTAGGGAGTAAGGGGAATATTGGCATCTAGTGGGTAGAGGCCAGAGATGCTACTAAATACTCCAGAATGCACAGTACAGCCCCCTATAACAAAGTTACCCAGTCCAAAATGTTAATAGTGCCAATAGCGAGAAACTCTGGTGTTAGGTATTTATTACAGATTTGCTTGTGTTGCCAGACTCCATGCCACATGTAGTGAGTTCTTTCTTTCTTTTTTTTTTTTTTTGAAACAGACTCTCGCTTGTTGCCCAGAATGGAACAATGGTGCAATCTTGGCTCACTGCAACCTCTACCTCAGGGTTCAAGCGGTTCTCCTGCCTCAGCTTCCCAAGCAGCTGGGATTACAGGCACACACCACCATGCCTGGCTGATTTTTGTATTTTTAGTAGAGATAGGGTTTTGCCATGTTAGCCAGGCTGGTCTCGAACTCCTGACCTCAGGTGATCTAAATGTGTTCTTCCACAGTTAATAAATGTGTCTTTCCCGAAAACCAGTCAATTAAAGTAGACTTACTTTTATTCCTTGGAAATATCAAGTTTATAGCCAAATGGCAACAGTTACATAAAATGAACAAATTGCATAGCAATTCCTCAAGAGATTTAAATAATTTTCAAACGCCTTGAAAATAAATGCCTCCCAAAGTGTTGGGATTATAGGCGTTAGCCACCATGCCCAGTATGAGTTCTTCATTAGGCATTTTCAAGCAAAAGCTACAAGCCGTTTCCTTGGAATCTCTGTGAGAGAAAGTGTTGTATTTGTTTAGTTCATCATGCTTCTCTGGCATTAGCATTTTTGCCTGGCAAACAGAAGAAGGTCAATACTTCCATACTGGTTATCTGTTAACTAAGTTTATGAGGGATGAGATTTACCCTAACAGCCATCCAAAATCTAAAATTTTCTTATTCCAAAAATTTGATTCATATTAAATTTGCTATTTATTGTATCTCATGGAAGTATCAGCCCAGAAGCTGTCTTTTAGTCATTATGTACAAATATACATACATATAAAATTTCAAAAATATAAACAGCTTAAGAATGATTTTGAAAATTAAATGTATATTGATATTTTCAGAAAATAATTATAAATAAAAACTAAATTCTTACTATAGGGGCCCTTGGGCCAAAAGAAGAAATGCTCTCTAGTTATGGTTTTTAAAATAATGATCAGTAAAATAATACGTAGCTCTAAGAATCAGCATGTAACTAGGGCTAAGAAGTAAAATAACTTCTAAATGTAAAGAATGTATTCAGATTACCAATCAAATTTTATCTTTGTTCAAAAGAATCATTTTGTTTCATTTTCTTTTAGTCCTCATGCACAGAAAATTATGGGCAGCCGGTGAAGTAGATAATGACGTTAAATAGGAAGTAAATATTAACCTCCCATCAAGCCCTATTTTTGGAGGCCATTCATTTTCTACCAGTAAAGATAGTAAACTTAAAAAGTCAAATAAACTTCTAATTTCCCAGAAGATCTCTGGAATAAACAGGTCAATAAATAACTTTTAAACAACTTATTTCAAGTAGTTTTTAAAGATTTTTTAAAATGCCTTGTTAAATAACATTTAAGTAGCTATTATTCATGCTTACCTCCAATTATACCTGTACTGAAAATTTTTTAACTTAAAAAAAAAAAATGAAGTACTTGGCATTACAAAAAGTCAACTAAAAGGTAACCTTGCATTTTAAAGTTTACTTAAGAAAACATCATTGCCATGATCTTTTGTCTGTATTTTTTAGGCTCAATCATCTCAAAATATATGGCATAAAAAACTTCTCCATTTGAACATTTAAGATAAACAATCCTCAGAAATAATTACTGACAACTGGATAAGAGTGAACCACAACTGTATAAAACCAAAATATTTCCTTGGCTAAGGGGACTTGGAAAAAGAGAAGCATGCCAGGGAGGAAGCTGTTTAAATTATCTCCTAAAGTGAAATGACTAATTTACTAGATAAAACCAACAGGTGAAGACATGCTACATTTTCATTTGAAATGACAAGATGTGACTATAATAGTAACTATACACAGAAAAGTCAAAGAAACCAAGGACTTTTCTGAGGTAGTTACAATGGGTCATACTTACAGCCACAGAAGCCCACTGCCATGCAAAACAGTGACTGGTTGGCATCTGATCATGTGAGCGACAGCAGCCAATAAGAATAGAAAATAAGAAGCAGAAGACAAAGCACCACCAATCAATGTCAAGAGTTGCCATGTATAATACTCTTGCTATACATAAACATCAAGAATGACTTCCACAATCTTTTATAATTACCTTTTTAAATTGATTCCATAAGAGTTTTTATATTTCATATTAAGAGCAATAATCTGTGGGAATACCCAATTTTAAGTCTTTTTTATTTGGTTTATAGTCAAATGTCAACATCGAAGTGCCTATCATTTTTAAAGGATCAAAGCATATTTGCTGAAATATAAAATATTTTTATTTTAAATATGAAAGCTCCAAATTTTATTCATTTTCTAAGTGTAATAGGATCCAATGAGCTAAAATGTGCATTTGCAGGAACATTCACTCTAACCCAGGAGTCAGCTTCCCTTACTCATCCCCAAAAGGTGAAAAGCTAATCAAAATTTTTTCATTCAAAAGTTAAAGAGAAACAAGACTTTAAAAAGAGAAAAAAAGGGGGCATTCATTAAGACTTTCAGTGTTTTGTGAGAAAATTTAAGAAAAGTAAGTTCAACTCATGGAAACAGTGGAAAACAAACATTATTAACTAGTATTCAACAATATTGCTATATACAACATACCACAACATTTATAGAAAATGAAGGACCCATTCAATTCTCTAAAATAATCAAAGCAGCAGGAATGGGATAAAGGCACTAAAAACGCAATAGAAAGGAGGTGAGATTCAAAACTCGTGATTTATCTTACCGGTGCCATTCGTATTGCTGGGTGTGCTCCGCAACCTTGCACTGCTTTATGAAGTGTTTCACCAAACATATTTCGAAGTTCGACTGAGTGACAATACACAGCATCAATCTTAGGCCACCAATCCAATGCCGACTACAGAAAAACAAAGACCATAAGAAAGAAAAAGTACAAAATTACATGAGTTGTATGTTCTGGTTATCACTGTAGTTTTAAGTTTTATCCTTTTGTCGGAAAATTTCTAAGACCATGCAAACACACACCATGATTTCCAAAATCTTCAAACAATGTCTTTAATTCAAACACTAAATCATACACATTATATTATAAAACATAATAATGAGCATGAGACAAATTGCCCACTTCATGAGCATGTGCATATGAGACTATCTTTTCTCAATGATAAGCCAGTGAATTTGAAAAACAGTGTTCAGAGAGCTAATGTGTAGCCAATATTTTTCTTTTGTTTTTTTAAGCTTAATGTTTTACAGTTTCTGAAACACATGCATACATGTCATATGTTTTCCCGGGTAAGAATGGTATTATCAAAGCTTTAAAAGTGATTAGTGGTTCAACACAGTATTGAAAGGATATGTGGAAAACCATTACTTGTATGTTTACAGACAACAATGATAATTACAACATGAAATTAGTAAATGAAATAAAGCTATTATCAAGTAAACCTATAACCTTAAATTGATATGCAATGATGACATGATACATGGGAGACTAACAATCACCATAAACAAAGACAAACTGATCCTAGCTTAATATATTTTTTTAATTACTTTATGTATTTTCTATTTCAATTTAACCTGTTTAGCTTTGATGTCTAGTTTTTAGTGCCTAGTTTATTTGAAAGTGTATCTTTTAACTTTAAAATGAATGACCTGATATATTATTTAAAAATGGCAATTATGAAAATCACTATTTTATAAAGTCAATCATTTAATACAAAAATGACTAGATGAATTTTCACTACATATGAAGAATATGCATGAAATGACCTAAAATATAGGCTTCTAATTGATAATACTCCAGATGTTTATAAGAAATATCTGGAAGAATAATACATTCAAATTATAGATAAGAGAGATTTAATAACCTCACATCTCATTCCCAGGTTTTTTTCTTATTCAAAACTAAGCTAAGTCTCAACATTTTAATTTCTTCACTTGAAATTCTCAGAATATTTTGAGTAGCATCAAGATATATTACCTTAACGTAAACTGTGGATTACAAATCCTTTTCACTGGATAGTAAAATATAAAACCAACTTATGCTACACATTTTGAATACTGAACTGGAGTTCCATTCAGGAAGCAGCCCCAAGCTCGGAGGGAAGAAATGCTTTTCTGGGACAGTATGGTTGTTTACACTTTTCCCTCAACTCCTACTTTATATAATCTAGTTCCTACAAATGATCAATTATGAGTCTGTTAGTATAATGGATTCCTCCAACTCTCGGCAATTTTGACCATCTGACTTGCCCAAAGCAACCAATGCAACTTGATTTCCTTATACTTAAGTTCCTTAACTTATAGTATAAGTTTCCTTATAACTTAAGTTATATAGCTTGTGTTAATCAGTCTAAAGTAACAAAAAGCTGAATAATGACAAAGTACACTGAGTGAAGGGTCTTCCTCACCCAATACATCTCATAAGATCTTGTCAGAAACTGATGAACTAAGGTAGGATCCCATATAACATTCTATTCAAATTACTGTCATTTTTTTTTTTATAGCTTTTGAAACTGTATTGTGGTATCAGGTGTACCATATAAAATAACTTTAGGCTTAAGATTTAGTAATTTTCATAGTTTTCATTTTTCATAATATATTCATTTTAAAATAAAAGATATATTTTCAAAATAAAATAAGCATGAAAAACTAAACATCATGTGGTTGGCAAAAAATTTTAGTATTTTGAGCAGCTACTAAACGTGTCCTTCTTGAAAACCAGTCAGTAAGACTTACTCTTTTTTTTCCTTGAAAATACCAAATTTATAGCCAAATGGCAACAGTTACATAATATGAGCAAATTATGTGGCAACTCGAGAGATTTAAATAATTTTCAAATGCCTTGGAAATAATTCCTTTCAACTACAACCTCTCAGGAGAAAGAGATCACCTCATTTTTAGTATGTGAACTATTTATTCAAACTACAATAAATTTCCATAAGGAAAAACCAGAAATAAAGTACCATACCAGCTATAGCATGTACCAGTGATGGCTAAGATAACTGGTTCATATGTTTGTATATTACTTATTAAATTTTCCAATTACATATCTAATTTAACCTAAAGGAAGGCTATAACATAAATCTTACAACGATAATTCATCTCTTATGGCACATAATAAACATGACAGTACAACTACTATTTTAGCAACTGCTAGAAACTTCCATTATAGTAAGATTCAAGTAGTGGATATACTTTAAGATTTTCTAAGAAGAAATACTAGAATATTTTAGATCTAAATTCAGTACTTATGAACTGAGTATGAGTATGTTTCACAAAACGAAAACTCCAAACACCTTACTACTTTTACATAAACCTTCAATACACATCAGCAAAACTTTTATCTTATTTGAGAATGTGATACTTTAAAAATGTGTGGACTGGCTAAAGAATCATGGGAGAAGAGAACTTATGAGGTACATTGAACCAAGAATCATTAGAAAAGAAATTTTACACTATGAATGAATTTAAGATCATAAGTCCAAATATCTAAGAACAATTTCATGTGATTTTTCAAGACATAAAATATTTCCATAATAAATGTCTTCAATGAAACTCTAAAATAGTCAATCTCATAAATTTGCATTTTTACTTTATAAATAGTCCTTTTCAATCAAAAAGTACTTCAGATTCAATAGCGATTAGCCTCAAACAACGGGGAAAATATCCTAACATGAAACAATTTACCACACGATCTATAATAATAAAGTATCACTACCCAAGGCATAATTTAAAAAGATACTTTTAACTAATATTTACATGCCTTTTCAAGTTATCTCATTGAAAAGTTACTGATACTTAATATTTCAAAATTATTCAATGTCATGTTCTTCTTTATAAAACAGATTTTCATATGACTTGACCTCTGATACAGACACACTCCACCCTCCACACATGCAGCGCTCATTATAATAGAAGAGGATGCACAGCCAGTTTCACCAAGTACATTGAGGCATGCATGAAGCACCACTCCAGGCATGCTTGGAACCCAGAAAGGAGCAGCTCAGCCACTTACAGCAGTGCCAAGTCCATGCTTGAAAGTGCTCTATATAGTCAATTGTAGACAAAAATATTTCAAAATTAAAGTAACTAGCCACAAAGTATCAAAAAAGTATATATTTGGGTTTATTATATACAAATTTTAAGCATTTATGTAAAGCTATCCACTCTTTGAATACTTTAAGTGTTATAAGCCACAGGGGAAAAAAAACAATGTCTTATTTCTGAATTACACATAAACTTGAGAGGGAAAATCATCTTTTTTTTTTTTTTTTTTTAATGGCCTTGAAAGTAAACCTTGAAAGTACAATGCCCTGGCTCATTATGCTGACAAAAGTACAGTAATTTTTTTTTTTAAGTTTTTAATACAAACATTTGTTATTTACAATCTTCATTAAACTTTCCCTTTTGGAACAAAGCATATTCAATGTTACTTCTACCTGCAATTTAACTCAGTGATACTCAACTAAGGGAGGAGGTATTGTTCCCTTAGGCATGTTTAGTTATTCATAATGACTAGGGATGGGGGAGATGCAGCACAACTGGCACTTAATGAGATGTTAAAGGTCCTGCAAAGCGCAAGGCATCCTGCACTACAAAGGACTGTCCTCCCAAAATGCTCACTAAACACCTGCTGAGAAAAATTAAATGTGTCACCAAATAGCTTTATTAATAGCTAATTTTCCCCTGCAGGAATGCAACATTTATTTTAAATAAACACAACAACCAGGGCAAATGAGGGTGAGGGGTTATTTTCAACTCACCAGAGGCACAGTCTTAAAATGGAATTTGATTATAAACAGGACAAATATACCACGTTATCAATGATTAAAGCCCCTTTTAAGGAAGGAAAATGTTGACCAATTTAGACATAAGTGTGAATATCTATCATTTGATAAAAATGGAACAATGGAAAATAACACCTGAGAACTTTCAAAATAGGGTTGTTCATAATTACAAGAACAGAATTTTAAAAATCCACAGCCGAGGAGGGCAGATCATTTGAGATCAGGAGTTCAAGACCAGCCTGGCCAACATGGTAAAACCCTGTCTCTACTAAAAATACAAAAATTAGCCAGACGTGGTGGCATAAGCCTGTAATCCCAGCTACTCGGGAGGCTGAGGCAAAAGAATTGCTTGAACCCGGGAGGTGAAAGTTGCAGTGAGTCAAGATCACACCACTACACTCCAGCCTGGGCAACAGAGCAAGACTCTGTCTTAAAAAAAAAAAAAAAAAAAAATTCACAGTCCAAATTTGATAAAGTTTTGCTGTCTTTCTATTTAATGTCTCCACATCAGAGCTGAAGGATATCCCAAGTACCTTTTAATGATTTCACTTATTTTGTCTGTTATGCTTTTATATCTTGTAGATACCTCTTTTAAAGTATATAAATATTTTATTTTAAGAAAAATGAAATTGTACACTATGAATGAATTAAAGATCAAAATATTTTAAAGTACTATCAAATACAGTCCCACCATTTTGTCAATGTGCTATACTGGACTACAACATAAATACTATTACTTTTAACTTAAATGGTAAGGTGGCAAGCCAATGTATTGAATGCTGTAAAAGGGCTAAGAGTATTCAAATATTATGTTTGAAAAGCTTTAGGATGAAAATTTTAAATTATATTTTCAGTGGCATTTTCCTCAAGGGCTTATGATCTGAATAAAATGTTTTAGATTTAATCTTTCCGAAGCATCTTATTAACTCCATATTCCTTAATATGGTCCCTTGGGCCAAGACTTAATATGAAAAATACAAATATTTGTCAATTACCAAATATAATCACCGTGGAACAATTTTCCTACTCCATACATCTAAATTCAGAACCTTTTTGAAAACCCAGAGTGCATTTCTTAAAAAGAAATTGGCAAAGAAAAGAAAGAAAAAAGTTTGTTTAGTGATTGAGCAATACCTTTTGGACTTACATTGGTGATGATTCGATGGAGTGAATTTACCAGCACATAGTGAAATGTAGAAGGTGAATTCTGAGCCAGGCAGATCTATAGAAAAAGAAAAAAAAAAAAAAAAAAAGCAGAGTATTTCTATGAGAAAAATATTCAGTAATACAAATGAAGACAAAAAGAACAGGAAGCAGAAAGTTTTTAAAAAACACTAAGTTTTCAAGGTCTTGAACATTAATTAATCCATAATAGTGAGAAATACTGATAAAGGTGAACCTACTTATCTCTCTAGACTTTTCATTTATAAAAGATAATAGCATCAGTAAACCTAGTTAGATAAAAACCAGTGCTCTCACCTTAAAGTGTTGGTTGTTGTGAGGGCTTATACGAAAGCAAGAAACAAGGCAGTCAATCATTAGATCCACATCTGCAGGCTGACTGCCTCTTGAGAATGGCTTACTTGGATTAAAAAGCAGGTTCTATAAAAACCCCAACAGAAAACAAAAGCCTTTAAATACCCATGCAGTATTTCTTTTACTAATATGTAATAACATCAACACATTATCCACACAGATGGCAGTAAAATTCAGCTGCCAGAAAAAGCACAAAGCATCAATACTGTGGTTCTTCAGTCTAATACAATTCTTTCTTTACCATATATAGGTTCCTTTCAGGCCCTAATTGCCACATTATTTTAAACCCAAGTCCATTTATTTATGCTTATTTGAGAAAACGGTGTTTTCTTCATATTCGCAGTCCATTTAGGCTGAACATATTAACAACAAAAGTAAGTCCTATGAACTTATCGAAGAAGAATCAGAACTTTAATGTTAGCATATCTTTGACATAATACTTACGCTAGAAAATTCATTGAATTTTCTTAAAGTTTGTAGTAGAGAATGAATAAGCATGTTACCTTAAGATCAACCACCATGGACTGAACGAGCAGGAAAATGACGGAGTTATCTTCCCAATTGATGTAAGTACTTGCTTTACACAGTTTGACACAGGCAATCGCAGCACTTTCTGTCAGCTGCCTGCTTCCTCCATGGCCAGCAAGAGCTTTTCGTAGACTGTCCAGAAACAACTTCTACAGAATTCAAATATAGTGTTAATATATGAAGTTTCTTCTATTCCAGATTTACCTAATATGATAGCAAATTAACAGCCTCTAAAACTCATACTATAAAGAATGCTTAATTTATAGTTGTGGTTTTCAATTTCATAACTTAAGTAGTGGTCATCATTTAAATGTTTCTCAAATAAAAACACCACATCTTTTTTCTACTTTCTTTATTGAATTATTAAAGGAATATAAAAAACAGTCCTTCCCAAACAAGGCAGCTGTTTTCTGAACTTTTTTTTTCTTTTTGAGATGGAGTCTTCCTCTGTTGTCCAGGCTGGAGTGCAGAAGCATGATCTCGGCTCATTGCAACCTCTGCCTCCTGGGGTCAATTCTCCTGCCTCAGCCTCCCAAGTAGCTGGGATTACAAGTGCTCATCACCATGCCTGGCTAATTTTTCTATTTTTAGAACAGATGGGTTTTCGCCATGTTGGCCAGGCTGGTCTTAAGCCCCTGGGCTCAAGTGATCTTCTGCCTCAGCCTCCTAAAGTGCTGGGATGACAGGCGTGAGCCACCACGCCTAGCCTTCAACTTTGAATTCAGCTGATCATCTCTTCTTTTTGATATTTAAAGTCTAAATATTATACTATCTTGGCTATGGTCTATGATAAAGTATTCCATCCTTTTCTAACATTCCAGGCTATATTCAACCTTCAGCATTTTTTTTTTTTTTTTTTTTTGAGACGGAGTTTCGCTCTTGCTACCCAGGCTGGAGTGCAATGGTGCGATATTGGCTCACTGCAACCTCCGCCTCCTGGGTTCAGGCAATTCTCCTGCCTCAGCCTCCCGAGTAGCTGGGACTACAGGCACGCGCCACCATGCCCAGCTAATTTTTTGTATTTTTAGTAGAGACGGGGTTTCACCACGGGATGCTCTCGATCTCTTGATCTCGTGATCCACCCGCCTCGGCCTCCCAAAGTGCTGGGATTACAGGCGTGAGCCACCGCGCCCAGCCCAGCCTTTTAAGTAAGAATATATTCAAGGCTGTTCTCTTGCTCTAAATTTGTTTCTCAAAAAAAATTATCTACTATTGTGATGTCAACTCCTCTTTACAGTTCATTAACAAATTTCTTCCCTTGGCTTTTCTCCTAAGTGAATATCTCACATCTCTACCTACACGTATGCTCAAATGTAACATGTCAAAAACTAAATTCACCTAACACTAGCATAATATATTCTTCTCAAGTGTACATAGAACATTCTCCAAAACAGACCATATGTTAGGCTACAAAATAAGTCTTAATACATTTAAAGAAACTGAAATCAAAGTTTGTTTTCTGATCATGATGGAAATGAAAAACCAGCAGATGAAAAACTAAAAAATTCTTGCAATTCAGTAAAGAAAGTAAACAAACAACAACAAAAAAAGAAAAACTAAAAAATTCACAAATATGTGAAAATTTGTGAATCTTAACCAATAGATCAAAGAAAAAAAGTCACAAATTAGAAACCATCTTAAGACAAATGAAAATGAAAACACAAAGTACTAAAACTTATAGAATACAGTAAATACAGGTCTAAAAGAAAAATGTATAGCTGTAAACACATTAAAAAAGAAGAAAGCTCTCAACTCTATGACCTAACCATACACCTCAAAGAACTAGAAAAAGAGCAAACTACACCAAAGCTAGCAGAAGGAGAAAATAATAAAGATTAGAGTGAAGACAGAGAACAGAAAAACAATGGAGAAAAATCACAAAACCAGAAGCTGATTCTCTGAAAAAGTTGACAAAATCGACAAAACTCTGGGTAGATCAATTAACCAAAAAAATAAAAAATAAAAATAAGAGAGACACAGAGAGAACACCAAATTACTAAAATCAGATATGAAAGTGGTGACATGGCCAGTCGTGTGGCTCACACCGGTAATCCCAGCACTTTGGAAGCTGAGGCAGGCGAATCACTTGAGGTTAGGAGTTCAAGGCTAGCTTAGCCAACATGGTGAAATGCTCATCTCTACTAAGAGGACAAAAATTGCATAGGCATGGTGGCGCATGCCTGTGGTCCCAGCTACTCAGGAGGCAGACGTGCAGTGAGCCAAGATCATGTCACTGCACTCCAGCCTGGGCGAAAGAGCAAGACTCCATTTCAAAAAAAAGAAAAGAAAAGAAAGGGGAAGGGGAAGGAAAGAAAGAAAAGGAAAAAGGAAAGAAGCAAAAGAAAGGAAATGAACGTTAAAGAACAAAGAGGTGATACTACTGATTTTACAAAAATAAAAAAGGATTATGAGACAATACTATGTAAGACTGTATGCCAACAATTTGGATAACCTGGATAAAATGGACAAATTCCTACAAACACATACTCTACAAACATTGACTCATGAGGAAATAGAAAATCTAAATAGAACTATAACTAGTAAGGAGATCAAATCAGTAATCAAAAAGCTCCCAAAGAAAAGGCTAGGACCAGATAGCTTTCACTGGTTGATTCTACCCAACATTTAAAGAAGAATCCTTCTCAAACACTTCCAAAAAATTAAAGAGAAGGGAATGCTTCTCCTTATTAGTTATATGCGTCCAACATTACCCTGATACCAACACCAGACAAAGATACTACAAGAAAACCACAGACCAATATATTTTGGGAATATTGATGAAAAACTCAACAAAATCAGGAGCATATTAAAAGGATAATACACCATGTGAAACTTACTCCAGGAGGACAAGATGGTTTAACAACAGCAAAAAATCAATGTAATACACCACATTAATAGAATAAAGAAGGAACTCCACATGATCATCTGAATCGATGGAGAAAAACCACTTGACAAAGTTCAACACCTTTCATGATAAAAAACACTCAAGCTAGAAGTAGAAGGAAATTTCCTCAACATCATAAAAGCCATATATTAAAAACCAATAGCTAATGACATACTCAACAGTGAAAAACTGAAAGTTTTTCCTCTAAGATCAGGAACAGGATGAGGATGCCCACTTTTTCTACTTCTACTTGACCATAGTATTAGAAATTCTAGACAGAGCAATTAGGCAAGAAAAAGATGGAAAAGTCATCCAAATAGGACAGAAAGAAGCAAAATTATGTCTACCTACAGATGATATATACGTAGAAATCCCTAAAGATGACACATACATACCAAAAACAAACCGTTAGAGCTAATAAATTCAAAGTCATAAAATACAAAATCAGCACACAAAAATCAGCTGGATTTCTATGCATTAGCAATGAAAAATACAAAAAGGAAATTAAGAAAATAATTCCACTTATGATAGCATCAAAAATAAAATATTTAGGATCAAGGAGGTGAAAAACATATACAACAAGAAACTATAAAACATTGCTGAAAGAAATTAAACATAAATAAATGGAAAGATAGCCCACGTTCCTAGATCGTTAAGGTAACAATATTACCCAAAGCAATATACTGATTCAGTGCAATCCCTATCAAAATCCCAATGGCATTTTTTGCAAAAAAAGAAAAACCCATCCTAAAATTCACATGGAATCTCAAAGAACCACATAATAGTCAAAACTATCTTGAAAAAGAATAAAGTTGGAGGACTCACACTTTCTTACTTGAAAACTTATTACAAAGCTACAGTAATCAAAACAATGCCATACTAGTGTAAGCACAGTCATATAGACCAATGGAATAGAGAGCGTAGAAAGAAAACCTCACACATATGACCAAACAATTTTTGGTGCACAAAGATGCTAAGACCATTCAATGGAGAAAGGGCAGTCTTTTCAACAAATAATGCTAGGAAAACTGATTATCCATATGCAAAAGAATGAAGATAGACCCTTCTCTTACATCATATACAAAAATTAACTCAGATCAAAGACCAAAACTTAACAGTAAAGCTATAAAACTGCTAGAAGAAAACATAAGAAAAAAACTATTTCCAACACTGGATTTGGCAATGATTTCTTGTATATGATACCGAAAAAGCACAGGCAACAAAAGAAAAAAAGATAAATGGGGCTTCATCAAAATAAAAACTTTTGTGTATCAAAGGACACTATCAAGAAGATGAAACAACAATCCACAGAGTAGGAGAAAATACTTTTACTATTTTTTATCTTTTTGATAGTAGCCATTTTAACTGGGGTCAGATGATACCTCACTATGGTTTTGATTTGCATTTCCCTGATGACTAGTGATATTTAGCTTTTTAAAATATATATATATATTTGTTGGTCATTTGTCTGTCTGCTTTTGAGAAATGTCTATTCAGGTCATTTGCCCATTTTTTAATTGGATTTTTTTTTTCTTTTGCTGTTTAGTTCCTTGTTTATTCTGGGTATTAATCCTCTGCTGGATACATAGTTTGCAAATATTTTCTCCCATTCTGTAGGTTGTCTTTTCACTCTGCCAATAGTTTACTTTGCATTAACGTTAATTTTGTAAAGAAAAGTAACTTAAATTCTTGACAATATGGAATTTAAAACATGGTATAGTCAAGCTGAGTGTGGTGGTGCATGCTTCTGGTTGCAGCTGTGTGGAGACTGAGGTGGATGAGGATTGCTTAAGCCCAGAAGTTTGATACCAGCCTGGGCAACATAATAGCAAGACTTAATCTCTTTTTAAAAAATGGAATATTCAATTTGGGGAACACTGCACAGCAGTTAAAGACAATGACCTGGCCAGGTGTGGTGGCTCATGCCTGTAATCCCAGCACTTTGGGAGGCCGAAGGGGGTGAATCACGAGGTCAAGAGATCGAGACCATCCTGGCCAACATGGTGAAACCCCGTATCTACTAAAGATACAAAAAAAAAAAAAAAATTAGCCGGGTGTAGTGGCACGCGCCTGTGGTACCAGCTACTTGGGAGGCTGAGGTGGAAGAATCGCTTGAATCCGGGAGGCAGAGGTTTCAGTGAGCTGAGATTGTGCCACTGCACTCCAGCCTGGTGACAGAGCAAGACTCAAAAAAAAAAAAAAAAAAAAAAAGACCTACAGGAACAATGGTTCTCAAACTTCAATGTACATCACAATCACTTGAAGGACTTACTAAAAACAGCTGTCCCCAACCCCCAGGGCTTCTTATTCAGCAAGACTAGATTAGGGACCTACGAATTTGCATTTCTCACAAGTTTCCAGGTGAGGCTGATACTGCTGGTCTGAAGACCACACTTTGAGAAACACTGAACTATATACCTATCTGTCTGTCTCTCCATCCTCATAAAAATATAAAAGCTAGACTGGAATAATACACATCTAACCCTCTGCAGTGGCTGTCCCTGGGAAAGAAGAAAAAGAATTTGTAATTAAGTGAGAATATATGGAAGTATTACTTGTTCACAACTTTTAAAAGCCGTATGAGGACTAAGCTCTGATTTTTTATCTTGCCCAAATTCCTACCTAAGGAATCTGAGTGGTCATGCCCTACAAACTGTAAATTCTCATCAGATGGGTTTTATTTGACCCTATATATCGTGACTTACTTTTCACTCTGACTCTGGTATAACATTATGAGAAAAGGAAAAAATATTTAGTCCCAAAATATATTTCCTTGCTGTAACTTGAAATTGTGCTGCAAAGTCTCTTGTGGGAAAAATTCACATTCTACAGAGAATCCCTTTTCCCTTTGTTTTCCTTCCTTCCTTTCCAGATCCAGAAGATAATCAACTAAGAGCCAGGCACCCTTTTGGGTCCCATAAGAAACTTTTTACAACCTGCTCTCTCTGAGTCTTGCTATCTGAGAGATTCCTCTGCACAATAAAACTTGGTCTCCACAAATCCTTTATCTTAACCTGGATATTCCTTTCCATTAATCCCAAGTCTTCAGATAAAATTCAACCAACTGTCAACCAGAAAATGTTTAAATTTATCTACAGCCTGGAAGCCCCCAGTTTGAGTTGTCTCGTCCTTCTAAACCAAACCAATGTATTTCTTAAATGTATTTGATTGATGTTTCATGCCTTCCTAAAATATGTAAAACCAAGCTGTCCCTCAACCGCTTTGGGCACATGTTCTCAGGACCTCCTGAGGGCTGTGTCACAGGCTATGAGCACTCATATTTGGTTCAGAATAAATTTCTTAAAATATTTTATAGTCTTTTCATTGACATGTATATAAATTTCTTCAAAGATGAGCAATGTAGCAAAATGTTAACAGAATTATGGGAAACTGTTATATTCTTTGTACATTTCAAATACGTCTTTTTAAAAAAAATACTATAGTCAAAAGAAACAGGTGACTGGAAAAATATTTACAGATTAAAAATGTAGGATTACTGTTCTTAATATACAAAAAGTTCGGCTGGGCACGGTGGCTCACGCCTGTAATCCCAGCCCTTTGGGAGGTCGAGGTGAATGGATCATGAGGTCAAAAGTTCAAGAGCAGCCTGTCCATGATGGTGAAACCCTGTCCTTACTAAAAATTTAAAAATTAGCCAGGTGTGGTGACACACACTGTAAACCTAGCTACTTGGGAGGCTGGAACAGAGAACTGGTTAAATCCAGGAGGCAGAGGTTGCAGTGAGCTGAGATCACGCCACTGTATTCCAGCCTGGTTAAATAATATGTATACTCGAGTATATACCCCTGAGTGAAGGTATATAACTTTGTGTAATTTTTATTTTCATTTGTAGGTACACAACATAATTTTCATTTTCTTAAAGACTGTAACTTGCCTTCAACATTTGTATCTACAGATTAATATTCACAGATATAAATGTTAAAATCTATACATACATTTTCTTGTTCCTAATCTTATGTTATCCATCTATGCTTGAAAATTTATAATGCAATTTTAATGCTAGTATCTATTGTTTGCTTCCTTTCTGAATGACATTTTCTTCAGCTTTATTGAGGTATAATTGAAAAATAAAAATTGTATGTATTTAAGGTGTACAACATGATGTTCTGATAAACATACATTCTAAAATGAGTACCACAATCAAGGTTATTAACATATCATCATGTCACACAGTTTACCTCTGAAGGAGAAGGTAAGAATACTTGAGATGAGATACTATCTTACCTTATTAGTGAGGCAAAATTTTTAAAGAAAACAGCTAATCCTGATTTTTAAAAATGCAGGAAAATAGGCAATCTAATTCAGTGGGGATGAAACTGTGACCTGCTGCAACCATTGGGGAGTGTAAATCTAGTAATACCTACTACATTTTTTTTTTTTTTTGAGACAGAGTCTCTCTCTGTCGCCAGGTGCCAGGCTGGACTGCAGTGGCACTATCTTGGCTCACTGCAACCTCTGCCTCCCAGGTTCAGCAATTCTCCCGCCTCAGCCTCCCGCGTAGCTGAGAGTGCGCCACCACGCCCAGCTAATTTTTGTATTTTTTAGTAGAGATGGGGTTTCACCATGTTGGCGGGATGGTCTTGATCTCTTGACCTCGTGATCCACCCACCTTGGCCTCCCAAAGTTTACAGGCATGAGACACCGCACCCCGCTGCTACTACAAATTTTAAATCCAAAAGTTCTTGACACAGAAACCCTAGGTGTGGGATTTTTGTCTATAGAATTAAGAGCATCAGTTAACAAGAATATATGAACAAGATATTTACTTAAGCCTTAGCTATAATGTCAAAAAACTGAAAACATCTGAATATCCACCCATTCACAGTGAAATAGTTGAGTAAATGAGGCTCATTAGTGTAACAGAATGTTACCTAATATTGAAAGGAATGTGTTAGATCTCTATCAACTGTTTTGAGGAAGAGCTAAAATATTTTCTTAGATAAACAAAGCAAGATGCACAGTAATGTGCATAAAATAATTTCATTTTAAAATATAACCACCACTACCCTACGTATGTATGCGTATTTTGCATTTGAATGTTTGTATGGGTAAGTAGATGTGAGTGGAAGTATACACTTCAGCCAATAACACTAATTAGCTCAGAGGGAATGTGAGTAGAAAAGGGTGAGAATACATTTAAAAAAAAACTTTTTTTTTTTTTTTTTTGGAGACAAGAGTCTTGCTCTATCCTCTAGGCTAGAGTGCAGTGGCATGATCTTGGCTCACTCTAACCTCTACCTCCCAGGTTCAAGCAATTCTCCCTGCCTCAGCCTCCCGACTAGCTGGGATTACAGGTACCTGTCACCATGTCCAGCTAATTTTTTTGTAAATATTTTTTTTAAGCCAGAAAGATTTTAAAAATCTAAACTTTTAAATCTAGAAAATACAAGAGAAAAATTAAAAAGCATACTTTCAAAATCTTGGCACATGCCAGACAAAAAGGTGACATGCTGAATGATTCCATTTATATGAAATGTCTAGTCTAGAATAAGTAAATCCATAGAGACAAAAAACTAGACTAGTGGTTGCCAAGGGCTGCAAG